ATATTCAAACCCTTCAGCATTTCCTGGTTTTTGCTAAAAATAAAGCATCAGAGAATAATTACATTTAGAATGTTCGCGAATTTTATCCCAAAAAAAAAAAAGAGGAATGTTCATGATTTTACATATAAAAAAAAATCTAAAAACATTCCTTTGACTGGACAACGAGTCACCAGCCCGTTCAAAGAAGGCCATGTTTCAGTGACCGGAGCGGGAACGAAAGGTTTTCAAGCTTGTCCATCTCGGGTCTGCGTTGTCGTTGTTTTGTTTTGTTTTTTTTTTTTTTTTTTGGGTAAAAACATTATTTATTGATTTGATTGAAGCCAAATGCGCAGAAACCGGAAGGATAAATCAGGATGTGCTGCTTCTGACCTAAAATATCATTTTTTAACCGTAATTTGCATGTTAATAAAATTTTTATTCTCCTAAAAAAATATTATTTTTATATTATTAGTTCTAATTTCCAATTTATGATTAGAAGAAAAAAATTATAAATTTACAAATACAGAAATTTAGATTAACAAATACAATGAGTGAAATGATAATTTTTTTTTCAAGTACCAGTCTACTTATACTTTTTTTTAAATTAGAATGAGTTGAGAGAAAATATTTACTCTCTTTATTAAAAAATATAAAATATTTTTAACTAAATCTCACCCCCAATAAAGTAATTACTTATCTTTAAAGTGATTACATCTTTCTATATTTAACCCTTATTTAATAAGATATTTTACCATAAAACAAATATAAAATAATTTATTTAATAGGGATACTTTTAAAAAAATAATAATTATACTTTAAAAAATTAAAAATATTTTATATTTTTAACCACCTCCTTTAAAAAATATTTTATATTTTAAAATGAGGGAGTATGTTTTAAAACGGAGGTGCCAATATGCAATGCCCAAGGCTGAGCCACAATTGTTCAATTCTCTTTCCAGTCTCTTTTTCATTAAAAAACAAACACGAGTAATGATTAATTTATCAAAATTAAGAATGTAATTAATGAGCTGAAATTGGTGCATGTGTTAGACATTTAAATTTCTTTTAAAAATGCCATCGTTTGATAGTCAAACTATCAGTTTCTAATGATTGATTTTATCAATAGACACTCCCTTCACTGTATATGTAAGTCATTTTTTAACTAACTCATCGAGAGTGAGGTGAACTATTTAAAATAAAAAATTATTTTAAAAATAAATTACTTTCAATTTTACTTCTAAATTTCTATAAAAGCGATTTAATATTGAAGAAGAGTTTTTTTGTTTAGAACTTGAAATATGCCATTCCACCTCTTGGTAGAAAGTGTAGAAAGATATTTTCAAAACTGTGCACAGAAAATTAAGTAAAACAAGGGTAAGTGACTTACATTAAGGTTTGAAATAATCTTCTATAAATTGATCAACAATTAGAACAGGGGTGGGTATTTTTTTAAAAAAAGATGGTTAAAAAAGAAAAATTCTGACAAGTGTTTCGAATGTTAAAAAACCCCATAATTTTTTCTTGAGAGAATATAACTTTAAATTTTTATATTTTATTCGTGTTTTGTTATTGCTTTTTGGAGTATTTTTTTCTTTATATTTTACGTTCTCACACTTTTATTTTTTTGATATTCTAAATTCCATCAAGGTAGAGATAGGTGAGCCAGCTTGTTTAAACCTCGTATAACAATAGGCCGGTCTTATAAATATGACACAAAAATTATAAATCGAGTTTAAACGAATTGGTCTTTGAGGGCTAAAGGCTAGCCCGTTTTATGCCTGCATGTACATTTTTTTCAATCAAATCTCATGATTTTATCTCTTTTTGAACTTGAAAAAATATTAATTAAATTTTACTTCATATCACATATGAGTCCATATTTGTTGAAGATGGAAGGAACAAAAATTATAACCCTAAATCTCTTAATCGATATAGATCTCCTAGTCTCCCAATCCCTTCTAATCTAGATTGGGCATTTGTTTGGCTTAGATGATCAATTTCTTGTTGCCTTGTTGTCATTGTATTTGTGTTTTTTTAGTTCATTTAAATGCTATTTAGTTAGTTTTCTCATCATTTTTTTGATTGGGTATTGTATTGGAATGAAGTTATTTTTTGATTGATAGAAAAAAAGTTAAAAGGGCTCAAAACCTACAAGGCCAGCCTTAAACCTGCTATATCAAGGGTTATGACTTTATATTTTATGATTATAAAGAAAACTTGAGCTTAAATGGGTTAATTCTTTTAGACCTGAACTCGTCACGGGTTAGCCTTATAAGGTTGGGTTAGCTCATTTTCTCAGCTATACTTTAAAGTTCCTACATTTTATTTATAGAGGGACCTAAACCCCTGAAAAAGAAAAGTACAGAGACCTATAATATTGAAAAAATGTACAGTAACCAGCAGTAAAACGTGAACAAAGTATAGGGATTTAAAGTCAATAACTTATTAAATAAATTAAATAACTTGTTAATTTTAGAAGCAAAATAATATGTTCATATAAATTCAATATTTGAATTACAACAACTGAAATTTAAATTGAAAGAACACAAATGCAATAACCTTAAATGATTTTTGGGCTTCAAATACTATGACAACAACATAATTGTCGAGTTGCATAACTTAAGTGAGTATATAGTCATGCAGCGACGGAGTCAAGATTTTGGATCAAGGGAGGCAATGACAAAGCTAAGATCATAGGTAAAAGGAAAACATTTCTGTCTCTTTCAAATCAATTATTTCTATTTTCTTCTTTCTTTTTTTTTTATCCAGCTTTCAATTATAGATTCATAAGTGCAACAAACTAGCAAAAAATATTCACCTAATTTTCTCTTGAGTTTTAAATCCTTATTATTTATCATTGTCTTTTTTTCCAACTAGCCTGAGTAGTACTCAAAGCGAGGAGATAGTCTATTTAATCATATTAAATTTTTTTTAACAATTGATAAATAATATTGGTATTTAAGTATAATAAAATTGTGGATTAATATTCACAGGGTTAAGTTAAAAATTTAAATAGATATAGACTAAAAAAATAAGATTGAAATGAATTTAAAATTTAAAAAATAAAAATAAAAGGGTATAAGATATAATAAGTGAAAGGTATAAATTGTAAAATATAAAACCATATACTTTCAAGTATGTCATTTTTTTCAAATGAGGGAGGCATATGCCCTCCTTCAATTTTATGCAGCTCCGCCATTGTAGTAATATAAAAAATAAAACAAATAAACAAAAAAACATAATTAGAGTATAACTGTATAAATAAAATATTAAATATTAATAAAGAAAAATAAAAGTACAATAACATATTTGAAACGACACTATATGTTGTGACGCCAATCCCATATCCTGCATTTTTTTGCAGCAGCGAGTGGATAAAATCAGGATTATCGCGGCAGGAACAACCATGAACAATCCTGTTGATATCAGGGGAACGCGCCTTAAATCCTCAATCACACCTCACTGCACTAAGCAAACTGGTAGTTGCATTTTAAAAATTCAAGGCACACGTGTTTATCTCCACAGGCACCAGGACTCCAGGAGAAGCTCAAGAGGATCAAGTTTCAAGTATCCTCAGCTTTTTGTTTTTTTTTTTGTTTTCCTTTTGTGCTCAGACGCCTCCCACGCTCGGCTTCCCATCAAATCAGCTTCCCAGGCATGAATGAAACTCAGCAGATTGGCAGGCAAGGCCGAACAAGGGCACTGCAAACATCGATGAAGCTGGGCTCTGCAAATCGCCGCGGCCGATGTCTTTACTTCCAAGGTAAGCTACATACAATGGACTCAAATTTCAAATCCCCATAGCTTGAAGTCTCTCTTTCTCTGGACGTAATGCGAACTTAAAATTACTCTGGGAAACCTGCCGCAGGACTCACCGCCTGCCACTACGATCCGGCAACGACATTTTTTCACTCCAGAGAATATAACAATCTTATCTAGTTTTCGATAACCAGGACCAGGAATGGAACTAAAACCAAGTAATCTGAGAATTGATGTAAACCTTAAAAATTCAAAAAGAAAAAAAGAAAAACATCTCAAATTTTATTATAAGTCCTACATTTTTTTTCAGGTGTCATAAATACTTATACTTTTTTTTTTAATATTTATAAAAATATAAAAATTTAGAATATAAAAACAAATGCAAGAGCCTATTCAAGTAAAATATAAGTCCATAAAGTTATATTTTTCAATGAAGAAAAGCATTTCACTATTTTCGTTACTAGTAGTAACTAGATTCAGGCTTAGATGGACATGCTTATTTATTTATTTATTTTTAAAGCATCGTTTTAAATTACGAGGCAGCAAGTGGCCTTCGGGTTTTTTTCTTTTCTTTTCTTTTTTTAAAAAAGGGGGAAATCAGAAACGAAACGTACACTGAAAAGGGCGGGGAGGGAGAGGACTTCCCTGAAATTTTGAGAATGGGGAGCAGCCCGCCCACGGGCACAGCTGATAAGGACAAGATTGCTTTCAATTTATTTTAATTGAGACAATGACTAGGCTTCTTATAAATCAGGTATTGTTTGTTTATGCGTGATTCCCTTCTCTCCCGTTCAAACTTCAAATCACGATTTTCAAATGTGCCAATCTTGACCTTACTTAATGCCCACCTGTCTCAGATTCTTTCCCCTTCATTCATCCGTTAGCTTTTCTATCCAATCATTTAATATTTCATTTTTAATAATATTGCTCCCTCTTCTTTCTTGCTCATTTCATTCTCATTAAAGGCTACCACGTCGCTATCGCCATTTATTCAGCCTTAACTTCTCCTCAATGATTCTGTCATGCCTGAACATACACTATCTTCAAGCAAAACATAAGTAGCCAATCAGTCTACAACCCGTCACATAGTCAAAACCACTTTCAAATTTCAATCACTCCACCAGTGTTGACTCTTGAAAGGAGAGACCTCGCTCAAGTTTGGGTCGTAGCCAGCGTTACTGCGTGGAAAAGGAAAACCACCCGAAGCAAATCTAAACTCCCCAATATTATCTCAGTAACGTATAGTAAGGAAGATGAAGAGGAAGAAGAAGAAAAAGTCCATATTAATCAACTTCGCTATCAGCCTATCACAGTTCAACTTCTAACCGAATTGTTTACGACATAGATGAGAGCCGGAAAATAGTCACATACCGCAGATTGGCAATGACTTACACAAGCAATGACTTGTAAAGGAAAGGGGAAAACAATTTGACACTTGATAAATATGAAAGTTATGTAGTTTAATATGCACAAAGCAAGGGTGGCAAAGAAAACGGTTGGTTGAGCTAAAATATGACCGGGAAGGAATATGAACAAGCTGCTCTACAATTTTCATCGTATTGTTCTGGTGAGCATGCATTTAGAAACCAAGAGACTCGTGGAGTAATTGAGACTGCACATTTTTAAGAACTCTGTAGACATCTGCTTCAACACCGGGTTGCAACCGCTCTGAATTACGAGCAGCAGCTTGGGTGCCAAACCTGCCTCCACGGCCTGCGAAGCACATTCTTCAGGGGCCAGCTTGTAGATAGCCCACAAAATTGACAGTGCGAATTGAGTGCTGCTCTCTGATACTCTCATCATTAACTTCACCACATTGGGTATGATGTTCGGGCACTCCTTCAATGCCAGTCTTCCCTCTGGAAGAGTTGACAATAACTCTAGAATGTACAGGGCTATCTCCAGGCACTCATGGTTTAAACTTGGAAGGAGCTCGATCAACTGAGCCACCGCTCCCACACTTACTATGGAGCTTCTCACTGATTCGTGAGAACAGATAGTCTTCAGTAGCATGAGTCCGGTTAAGACCCCGCTTGGGTGTTTCTTATCCCTCACCAACCTCAATAATCCAACCAGAAGACTCAAGCTCGACACAATCTCCGTTTCCGACTCGCTCACTTCCGTCAACAATGCTTCGATCAATTTGGCACAGTTCATTTTGGTCTCAATGGTTCCCTCGTTCATGACATCGACCAACAATGATATCTTCGCCGGTTGCATCAGACTTCTCTTCGACTTTGAACTCAAATCCAAATTCACTAGAATTCCAATCGCTTCGGACCCGACCGCGTGGGAAGTGAAAGGACCCAGCAAAGAAGAAATTAAAGCAAGCCCACCGTTTTCCAGGACCGTCTTCCTTGTGGACGCATTGGCCGCGACAATTTGCCTGAGATCACGAAGAGCGTGAACTCTGGCCTGACCCTTCACCTTCTTGAGTGTCTCTAAGAGCTTCAGGGCTCGTCCCTGCACATCCTGGAACTGCTTCTTCAATGAGAGGTGCTTCTGGGAGAACCAACTATGGATTAATTGATTGAGAGTCCTGTTCACCGTCACGGAATCGTCCCAGAGCTCCTGCATCGTTGTGGGGCACGTATTATGACCGAGGGCGAACCATTTGAGAATGTTGGATCTGTCGTAGGTCTGACCCGTGCACAGGGTGACGGGCTCTCGCATAGGCTCTAAAGAGATTGGACAGACGAACACGGAGGGCACATCAACCGAGCCCAGCTCCTCAATCAACACCGTCAGATCTATTTTCTCACCATCGCCGCAAACACCACCGGGTCGAGCAGTTTTGCCGTCCAAAACCCCATCTTTCACGGCAGTTTCTAGATCGAGGACCTCGGCCCTGCCACCTGAAGACGACCGATGCGAAAGCATTTCTATCGGAGCTCCGGTCGAAAGTGTGATGAAACTTGCAAGGGACCGAAAAATAAAATATGAGGCGAAGGCCCCTCAAATCCGCAGGATACGAAGCGTGTGAGAAAGAAATAAGAAAGGGAGACAGAAAGAAAGTCGGGGTCTGGACTCTTGGGTAACAATGCAAAGCCCGTCAAGGAGACAACTTTTTCCCCACACCCATCTCTTTTCCTCTTTAACTGCGCCCTTTCAATGGTCAAAAAAGTATATTTTACCCAGTTCATTCAATCATGGTCATCAACGATATGATTGAGCCATAATTTTCTTCCCCGATGCCAAAGCTCCCTTCATCTGTTGCCTTCCCCTTAGGCGTTAGACTTGGAAATTGGAAATTTTAAAATGATTTTTTTTAATAAAACTTGGCAGCATTGTTCGGCTCAGTTATCAAAGGGACTCTGTTCACCGGCTCATCGCGGAGCGCCTCCCATCCTCTCAATGGGGGACCGTGTAGCACACGTGCAGTCATAATGTTAGGCTGTGACCTCTGCTGTGCCGCGGTATTAGTGGTGATTATCTTCTCTTGAAATGCAACGGAGTGTAGTTTTAGCGTAAAGAAAATCGTAAAAGTTGGATTCTCCATGGATGAGATGCGGGTGTTGCGGGCCTCGGCAGGGACAATCTTGAACTTGAAGACGCAACCTGGGACAGACGGTCAAAAAGGGGAACAGATGCCACCAAACTTAAAGTAATTATTTACAGCATCTTAGACGGGGATTATCGGTGACCACACCCAACGGCGTCGTTCCACGCACCAGTACTGTTTTCTCGGTCCCTAGGATAACCTTCACCAGGTCAGCTTTCTTGAGAAACCGCGGCTGTGAGGAATCTGTAATAATTTGAAGAAATGAAGTACTCCTAGAAGAGCGTCCTGCGACGTTGCCTTGAAGATTATTCGTTGCTTAGCCATGTTATAATCGGGCCGTGCCCCTCTACCAGATTTTTTTTATTAGCAGTGAAGGACAAAGAGGTGAAAAGATGCCAACTGTGGTTGGCTGTTCACTTGTCCAGAGTAACATAAATATTGATAAGACGGGGGATTCGGCTAAAATTCCAGTTTTATATTGCTTTTTGTCTGGGCAGGGGTCGGGGCGAGAAGCAAAAAATGATGAGAGAGAAGATGAGGTTAAGGATAAATGAGAATAGTCTGGTGAAGGCGAATAAAATAGGAAAAGCAGAAAAGGGAAGGGCACAAAATTAGAGGATGAAAAGCGATGAATCCAGACGTGCGAGGAAGGCAGAGAGAGGGAAGTGAAGTGACCGGCGACCACCAACTTATAAAAAGCAAAAAGAAAAAAGCATGGTCAGAGCACGAGGCCTGCTCCTTCTTTCCATTAGAAGTGGCGAAAAGGCTAACTGACCAAATCAAAATTCCAAAATTAACCCAACCTGGTCAATTACACACAAGCCCAAATATATATATATATATATATATATCATTTTTTGGTAGAGCACAATCCCAATATTAAACACCATGCTTGGTGCTCGGCATTGCCATCAAGGGCCCAATATCCGTAAAAACAGATGAAGCTGGGATCAGACTGGGCCTAACTCTCCTTTTCCCGTCGAGGCTTTTCCACTCCTAAGACTTCTGAACCATGAGAGGCCATCATATTCTCTGGACTTGAATCCACTGCAATTCAGCCCAATCCCCTCTCTTCGTAAAATATAATCATTAAATTAAATTATAAATGACAAAATGCCATTTTTTTTTACCAACGACAAAATGCCATGTTGATCAATCAGATATAAGTGCGGGGGGGAATTGGAGATGTCAAACATTGTAATCATTCCCCGATCCATGCGTGATCTTCGTCGCATCTTTTGTTCATCGTGTGTGGTTAGTTCAGATGGCTGCGGCTTATTCTATATTTACTTTTTAATCAAATGTACGTCGTCTACCTTTGTTGTTATAAAATTCGAAATAAATTAAATTTATACAGCAAAGTTATATTCCACAGATATAGATTAAGAATATTTATTAGATGATTTATACATAGTGCTCGCTCGACTGGCCTATGGACATCAAGCTCCAAATCCAGAATACTTGTTACTGGATAATTAATTATCTAGTTTTTCTTGCATAATATTCAATATTTTTTTATTATTGCATATAAGTGCTCCGCTAGAAACAGTCTTATTTGAGACATAACCAGGTATTGAATATAAACATTTATATGATGTTATTATGTTAGTTGTTTTTTATTGGAACATAAACTTCAATTTATTATAATTTAATTGTTCAAATTTTAATTCAATTATAACTTAATTTATGAATTTTGAGTCAATGCAACTCAATATATATTCTTAACTATTTAAAATATTAATTTCTATATTTTAGAAAATAAAATTATAAGTATTAAATCTTATTAAATTTTATTAATTCAAAATTTGTCCCAAAATGTCAATATAAAGCGCATGGATCGGTTAGATCTTTTAGACGAGTTCATCAAGAAGGCAGTTGAGCTTAAAGTGATTTGGTCTTTTCGTTGTACCTCAGAACGGACATGGTATGGAGTCCCAATTGTTTAGTCACCGAACCGAAAAGGAATGTCAAATGATTTTTAAATGGAAGGTAATCTCAAAATAATTAGAATGATGCTCGGTCAATGTAAACGAACATGCATCAACATAAGCGTCGACTGCTTCCATATTTTTTTAAAATTAATTTGAATCGTACTATGCTCTAGGTTTCAAAGAAACAGCAATTCAAAGCTAAGCACTTCTTTGCACGCCAAAACGGGATCGCCGCAAAATGCCTACAATGGGCACATGTTATTTCTCTTGTTTATATATATGACTGCACGACTTTGATTCAGTTAAAAAAAAAAAAAATCTACCATCCAAGTATCTGTGGCCAACATGAAAAAGCTTTTCCAACAAATGTTGGTTCAGCTGCTAAAAATTTGACGTATAATAATTTATAAGATCATATGTTTTAGATATACTAACAATCAATACAAAGATTTTATTGATATATGATTTATAAATATCTTTATAATCACATTGTGAATTTGAAAGCATGTCTTAATTTCAGTAAGTTTCCAAAACTCACTCACTTTGATTTTTTTTACATGCAAATTAAAAATAAACATGAGAAAGCTTTATATTTCTTGTGATCTATGAACAATGATTAAAAAAATCAGATCAAATTAAATAGTCAAACTAGTTGGATTGTAGATTGGTCAGACTACTGGTTCGGTCTAGCCAAAAAAATTATTTAAAAAGTTGGGTCACCTTGGACCGACGGTCGAACTAGAAACTGGATTTAATTTTCAAAAACTAAACTGTTAAAAAAATTACCCTTTTCTTTTTTTAATCAATTTTTTTAAAAAATAATTAATTTTTTTAATCATTTGACATTATGGTATATCATGTGACTTATAAAGTTATAATAAACTTAAAATATTTAATTTTATTTTAAAATTAAGTAACAATTTTATATTTATTTTTTATATTTATATTATATATAATTTTTTAATTTAATTATTACGTTACTTGTTCAACCATGCAAACCGAAAATCATTAACATTTCTAGTTTAATATCTATTCTAATTTTAAAAACATTGCCAGGGAGGAATGATATTGGAGTCGCCACCCCTCCTCCATATATAAATACTGTGCATCTTTATGGGCTTAGAGGAGACAGCTGGCTTGAATCAAAAAGTGAGTAATCACAACACTCCCAACAAGAAGTAGTTGTTGGTTGATAATTTGACATTGAATAAGTGCAATGCATCAAAAATAAATTGAATTAATTTGGTTCATGTTCACTGCTTCTCGTTGCCACTCTTTTTAGCCGAGTGAATCAGAATATGAAGCTAGCAGTTAAAACAGCATTTCTTTAAAAAAAAAATGATAATATTTTTTCAAATTATTATTCCAATTGTTGTTGGCCTTTTGACCTTCTATCTATAATTGTTCATCGAGTAAAACTATTTACAAGTTCAACTAAGAGCGTGTTTAGTATAAAATATACACCGAGTATGAAACCCTCAGCTGGGGATTCAACAACACAATACACATGCTTTTCGTTCATATTCAATTAAAATTTACACATAACATGTATGTACGTATGTACCAATTGTGGCTAAACTTCCGACATTTTAAAGATGTATGAGCTCTAGAGGATTCAAAACCTATTAGTGCATGCAATCAGCTTGAAAATATTTAAATCTTCCTCATCAAAACATAAAAAAGTATGATATACATGTATATCATGCAAACGATTCCTAAAGATGCGACGGAATCCAAGTAATTTCATTTAGTTAGCTTAATGGATCAATCACTGCGCATTCATACCAATAACTATACACCTAACTTATATGGAAACATTCTAACGGCAGCATTATTATATCACTTTTTTATACCAGATCTAGCACCAGGCTTGGGGATCGGATCGGTTTACCTATTTCCTTTAAATAATGCCGAAATCTCGATACGTAGGTAGAACACCGCAATCAGACCACATATTCATCATCATAAAACAACTAATTAATTGGATTTACAATTGCGATCTCAACATCAGCACTTACTCTCTTTATTTTTTTTTTCTTTTTAGAAAATAGCATTGGAATGGCCACTTGCCAGGGGTGTTTCCTTCTATTCATGGTAATGGTATTACTACTCGGTTCGATCCCATTCAATCACGTATTTAATGAAAAGTTTATATAAAAAATTGATATTTCATTTTTGAATGGTACATTATCGTTTCATGTGAACAATATATTTGATGAAGCATTATTACATGCTTTCCACTTAAGTTAAATTAAAAGAAAAGACGCAGTCAGTCATTTTTTTTTTTTGGGCTGAACTACAACAGTATCGAATTCATATTTTTATTTATTTATTTATTTATTTTTTGCTATTGAATTTTGGACTGAGTAAAACTCAGCACAATTCATATACCCGCCTATCACTTACAAAGGGCCCTATTTAATTATAACCATATCACCTCAGACTTTCATGATCTCATCTTTTTGTCCCCGTGATAATTGGTTCTCCTATATCTTTACATGATTACGTGGGACGTAGCTTCTATTTTAAACTAGCTTATTTAGAATTTGAATTATTAGCTGAGAAGGAGATTGACCGATACGCAGTTACGCACATCACATTTCACTTATATTGTTAAAGGGAAACAAAAGTAGAAGTTACAGAACAAAGCTGTTGCGACGACCGAGCGAGGATCTTTATTATTATACACTTAATAGAACAAGTCACAAATTAAGAAACTGAAATTGAAACTTGTAAGAGTAGCGAGACAGTCCGTTTAACCAACCAAGTCATTAAAGAACCCCACGGATTCATTCTCGTCTTCAATATAATTTCCTTAATTAATTAATCCGGTGTTGTCTGAAAAAGTCCTAGAGGTGCTCCACTTTTATACCCTCCATCTCCCACTCCTCCCACACACCCACTAGCCTCCAAATCACCTTCTTATCATCTCGTCCCTGATATATTTTTCTGCAAATATCATTCACCTCCGAAACTTTTGCTGCTGGATTTGTTTCTTCGATCTTGGAGCATAACAAGGCGCAGAGAGAGAGAGAGATGAGGAACAAGGGACAAAGCCAGAACATTTTGGTGAGGATAATTACTTCACCGTTGAGAGCTCTGGGGAAAGCAAAGGACTTTTACATCAGAAGCATCACTAACTGCGGCAACAGCATGAGCTACAGCAACCCTATGGATGCTGCTGGACGGTTCGAAGCCTTGCCCAGAAGCTACAGCGCGGCCACAACGAAGCAAGCCGACAGAGAGGATTTCGCAGAGCTGGTGAGAGCAGCGTCGGCTAAGACGTTGAAGGAGAAACTGGACGTAGATTTTGTCTTGAAACAACAGGAGGCGTCAAGAGTGTTACCCAAGTCTGTGAGTGTCGGTATGAGCAGGATCGACGAAGACAGTCCCTGTGATTTTGAAAACACGCCTCTTCCTGCCGCGCCTGACTCTTACCCAAGAAGTAGAAGCTATGCTGTTACAAGTAGAGCTGTTGCTGTTTTCTGAGATTCCCCTTTTGCGTCCCCCAGGCGAGGCTTTGTTTCTTTTTAATGGCGGTTAGATTTGTCATTTGGATTGTTCTTGACTTTATATATCTCTCCCTCTTTTAGGTTTATAATCACAGTTCATCAGTACCATTGTAGTGTTCTCTTTCTCGATGGTTTCTAATTCAGTAAATATGGAACTAGCCAGATCGATGTCTGTCTCTTGCTTCTGCCCAGAATTGGGATCACGAACAATAATGGCAAGAGTTGCACACTACACGAGGGGATTTATTTGTCGATCTGGACGAGGTCAATTTTGACGTCGTTGGTAGCATTTGGGAATTTGAGATTAGAAAACCTCCAGTTGGTGTTGGTCTGGTTGAGAATTGTATTATATAAAAGAAATCCAAGCAGGGATCAAGTGGCGCATTTTAAAATTGTTGATCAAATTTAGGAAATAGCTCGTTCGGAGGACAAGGGTGTGAGTGCGTCACATGTTCAATCAATGCTATCTGGAAACCAAAGAGCAGGGGAGAGGGGAGTACAATGAGGAATAATCAAACGCTGACGAAATGGATTTCTTGGAGTTCATCCCATTTGCTGTAGGGAAATGAGAATTAAAAAAAAATAAATCGTTCGATGAAGGCGGAGTGACGAAGAATAGTAATTAAGGCTGAATTAGGGAGCCATTTCTATGAAAGATTTTGATAATAATGCCAGATGGGAGTGTGAGTCAGGCATAGCCGTCAGTCAGACAAGGAAACACGTGCTTGAGCAGGTGAACGTCTCATCATATACTTTTAGTTGCCCCGTGGGAGGGGTACTTGATTATGAGACTTCCACTCAGGGCCCATCTTCCCCACCTGCTTCAGAAAGCTGGGCTGTGCTAACCTAATTCACGACATACTCGCCTGCTTGGACATGTATTCAAAATGCACCCTCATCAGTCTAAATTGAAGGCACTTTGTGATAAAATATAATAAACATGAAGAGAAGAGAAGAGAATAACAACACAATATAAGAAATTGAAAAAAAATAATAATTTTTTTTATTTATTAATGTACATATACTTTAGACAATATCTCTATTTATTGGCCTCCAATCATTCAAGTCATATTAACAAAGAGACATGTAATAGTGCATTATATAACCTTTGAAGATTATAGGCTATTAATAATAAAAAATTCCTTCCATACAATTCATTAGGACATTAAAGATAAAATAATCTTAAGAATTATAAGTTGCGGACATTCATAACATAATATTTATAATACTCCTCCTTAAATATTCATGATGAACATTGTGTTTCATTAAAATCTTACAAAGAAAAACTCAATGGAATAAAAACTTAATGAAGAAAAAAGAGTACACAATCTTTTTAAACACTCGTTAGTGTTGCCTCATTAAAAACATTTACAAGAAAACCCAGTAGAATAAAACCATAGAAAGGAAAAAAAAAGTACAACATGATATGTACTCCCTATGGTCTCTTGTGGTAACAATATTACTTCACTCTCTATGGTGACACCATCACTTTATGTCTCCGGGTCCGCACATTCCAAAACCATGCACTAACTTCTCAAATATTGAAGTTAGTAGTGTCTCAATAAACAAATTTACAAGATTGTCACATGAGAAATTTGCCGAACATCTATATAACCGCTCTTTAAAAGGTCATGAGTGAAAAGAATTTTGGAAAAATATGTCTTGTTCTATCTCCTTTGATGTATCCTCCTTTCAATTGAATTATGAACGCTGTATTATCTTTATATAAAGTTGTTGGAATCTTTTTTCCTAACAACAAACCACACATCTTTTGGATATGATGGATCACTGACCTTGGCCAAATACATTCTTTACTTATCTCATGAATTGCAATTATTTCTACATACTTTGATGAGGCAATAAAGTTTGTTTTATTGAATGTCAAGATATTAATGTACATCCACAAGTAAACAAATATTCAATTTGTAATATACCTTTATGTGGTTTTAAATGAAATCATGCATATGCATAATTGATAAATTGTGATTCAAATTTATTATAATAAAATAATCTCATATTAATTGTCTTACAAAGATATCAATATAAGTATTTAACTCCATTATAATACTTTTTTGTTGGGAAAAATTTAAATCTTGCTAATAAATTTATAGGAAATGCAAGGTCAAATCTTATTGAATTAATAAAATATATCAATGCACTTATAGCACTAAGATATGGCATTTCATAATTAAGAAGTTCTTCATCTTTCTCTCAAGGAAGAAAATGATCTTTTTTCTCATCAAGAGATCATACAATCATTGGAGTAATTAATAGATGTGCTTTGTTCATGTAAAATCGCTTCAATATTTTTTTAATGTAAGTTGATTGATTAAAAAAAATCATTTGCTAAGTGCTCAGTTTGTAAATCGAGGCAAAATTTTGTTCTTTCAAAATCTTTCATTTCAAATTCTCTCTTTAAGCAATCAATTGTCTTTTAGAGCTCATCAGTAGTTTCAATTATATTTAGATCATTCATATAGACATGAATTATAACAAATTTTGACTCATTTCTCTTTATAAAAACACATGGAGAGATTTGATCTTTTTATACCCTTCATTCAATAAAAATTTATTGAGACGATTATACCACACTCTTTCATATTGTCTCAATCCATATAAAGATTTATACAAATGAATTCTATATTTTTCTCAATAATCTTTACATGCTTCTAGAAATTTGAATCATTCAAGGATTTTCATATAAATTTTTGTATCAAGAGGATTACAAATAGACTGTAAGAACATCCACTAAGTACATATCAAGTTTTATATGTACTGTCAAACTAATTAAATATCTTAAAGTGATTGCATCCACTATAGGAGCGTATGTTTCTTCATAATTAATGCTAGGTTTTTGCAAAAATCCTTGTGCTACTGGTTATGTTTTATATTCAACGACTTCATTTTTCTTATTTTATTTTTGCACAAATATCCATCTATATCCAACTCGCCTTACATCATTAGGTATTTAGGCTATAGGTCCAAAAACTTAACATTTTAAAAGTGAATTTAGCTCTACTTAAATTGTATCTTTTCATTTTGGCCAATCATTTCTATGTCTACATTCTTTAAACGATTTCAATTCTAGAGTCTCATTTTGATTTATTATTTTTACAATAACATTATGTGAAAATATGTCGTATACAACTATATTTTTTCAATTCCATCCTTTTCACACAACGACATAACTTATTGAGGCTTCTTTATTATCTTCAAGTACCTAGACCTCTTTTGGGGTCTTCTAATTAGTTATATCTTTGTACTCTTTTAGAGTATCAACCTCCTCAACTATGCCATCTTTATTTTATACTCCTTTCTTTTTTATAGGATTTTTATCTTTAGAACCAATTAGTTTACTATGCTTCAAATATGGTTTGGATTCATTTGTACTTTCTAATTGTCTTACCAGAACATCAATTTTAATAGGAGCATTTTTAGTTGTAATATGAGACTTAGTAATTCTTTCAAGGTCAGTAAATGCATCTAGCAATTCACTTGTAATATTTTATAGATAAATTATTTTTTAACTTCAAGTTTATATTACTTTATATGGGGATCTAAACAAGGTAATGATAATACACTTCATGTACTTTCTTTACCCAGTTGCTTATTTTCTCTCCTTAATACTGGGAAAATAGTTTTATCAAAATGCCAATCATCAAAAGGTGCCATAAATAAATCTCCAATTAATGATTCTAGATACTTAATTACAAAATCAATGCATATTCCTAATTTCTTTGAGATCTCATCTTTATGTGTTGTGGTGGAGCAATAGAAACAAATACAGCACATCTAAAATTTTCAAGATAGAAAATGCTTAGCTCTCAACCAAAAGTCAATTATAATGAAAAAAATTTATAATAACATTGGCCTGATGCACATAATGTTGCTGCATGTAAAATCACATGTCCCCATGCTGAAATAAGAAGTTTCATCCTTAAGAGCATCGATTTAGCTGTCAATTAGAGGTGTTTAATAAATGATGCTATTATGCCATTTTGAGTGTAGAAATGAGTCATAGATTTTTTAACTGTTATTTCAATTGATATGCAATAAAAATTCACTCACATTATTAAGATAAATTGTCTTAATTGTATAATCTTAAAACTATGCTCTTAATTGGATTATTTGAGCAAGTAACATAGCAAATGTTAAGTTACATGTTGATAACAAACACACATTTGACCATATTATAAATGCATCTATTAAAACTATAAAATATTTAAATAGTCTACATGGTGGATCGATAGGCCCATATATATCCCCCTGGATACGTTCAAAAAAATAGGGGATTTAATTCCTACTTTTGTAATTGAAAGTCTTTTAATTAATTTTCTTTGAAAATAAGCAGCACATGAAAAATTCTTAAATTGAAGAATTTTTTAGTTCTTAATAGATGTTCATGTGAATTCCCAATAATTTTTTATATTATAGTTGACTCAAGATGGCTTAATCGATCATGCCAAATGATAAATGTATATTGATTGGTAAATTTTTTATTGACTATTGCATTTATTTCAAATGTAGTAATAGTTGTATAGTACAAACCAGAAGATGATGTGAATAATTTCCCTGTGACACATTTCGTTCTAGATCTAAAATATGTAATGTGCAGATATTCAACACCTTTCTCATTTATAGTCTCAATATGATATCTATTTCGGCAGATATCTTTAAAACTTAATAATTTTTTTTAGACTTAGATGAATATAATGCATGATCTATAGTAATTTTTATTCCTTTGAGTAATATTATAATTGCTTTTCCAAAACTATCGATTAATTTGGTATTAGCCACTATGGTATTGATGCTTTCAGCTTTTATTGTTACACAAGTAAAATATTTTTTATCTTTAAACATGATATGCGTTGCAGCACTATCCATGAGACTTATCTTCATTTTTGTGTCCAATAAAAAAATGGAATATCCATAATCTTCAATAAAACAAAGAGAATGTATCAAAATAAATAAAATGAGATTTGTTCAAAGCAATAATGTTTTTATTACAAGAAAACAAGAAAGTTAAATGAAACATAATCTAAATTACAAGAAAACAAGAAACATAATTCAAATTATTTTAATTAATTTTTAACCAAGCTTGTCTAATCTTAATGTTCAAAGAAACCAATGTCATAATATCATGATCATTAATACTATCTAACTCATTGATATCATCATTTTTGCATGTAAAATTTGCCTCAACATTATCATTTTAAAAAGAAAAATTTGATTCCACATTATTTAAATTTATTTTTATGGGGACTTGATAAAGCTTTGTTAGATGCTCGGGCATACGACATGTACATGACCAATGCTCCTTTATGACACATCGATAGCATTGATTTTCAACAGTTTTTAAAGGCCATTCTTATCTCTCGTTGGCCCTTCATTATTTTCCTTCTTTTGGTGGATATTATGATTATAATTAGTACCACCACCACTATTATAATGGTAATTAGCGCATCCCCTACCATGACCATGTCCACAGCAATTATTATATATAGTCACAGTAGGATGGAATTTATAATTTTTTATTAGCAGCTCATTATTTTGTTCAGCTATAAGAAGACATGAAATTAATTTAGAATGCTTTTGAAAACTCTTTTCACGATATTGTTGCTACAAAAGCACATTTGAAGTATTAAAAGTTGAAAATATCTTTTCTAACAAGTCCTCATTATTTTTTTTTCACCACATAATTTCAACCGAGAACTTATTTTAAAAAAATATTGAATTATATTTACGTAGAGTTTTACAATTTTACAATCTTAAATGCATGCATTCATATGAAGCTTTAGGTAAAATTATTATTTTCTAGTGGTCATACCTTTTTTTAAGATTAATCCACAATTCTAATGGAGCTTTTACCACTAAATACTCAACTTTTAGCCTTTCATGAAGATGATAATGAAAAAATATTATTGCCTTAACCTTATCTTGATTACTTGCTTTATTTTCAGATAAAATTGCATTTTCTATACCTTTAATGTCTAGATGAATTTCATCATCTAACATCCATGGTAGATAATTCTTTCTCAAAATAGCAAGAGCTGTAAATTTAAGTTTGATCAATTTTTCATGATTCAAACTAAAATAATAATGAAAATTAGAATTATGACAAAATTAATAAATAAAGCATAATAAATGAATATTATAGTAAAAAATCATTCACATACACATACTAAAATGATAAATAACCATAAATGAACCATAGAATATAATCTATAATAAAGCACAATATAAAAAATACAAATACAAATAACCAAACTTACTAAATGAGTAAAAATAAAAAATGCAATAAAGCAAATAACTGATGGATAAAGCAAACAGTTGATATGATATTACACATAAAAAAAATTATATTACCAACATAAATTGACCAACACACACATAAACAAACACAAAATGTATAATATGTATATATAGTATTAATTTAATGGAGGACTAAAAAAAATAAAAATGATATCAAATACATAAACACAAGAAAGAATAAAAAAAATAAAAATGATATCAAATACATAAACACAAGAAAGAAAAATAAATATATCAATCTTCATAAAAATATAGAACAACAAATAATAAAAAAAGCAATGATGATCAAAGAGATGTGATTAAATTAAATCATTAATCACATTATTATTTTTAAATTAATAAAATGAAAAAATGTAAAATCACTTTGTAACTAGGAAAATGAAAAGGTAGGAAAATAAAACAATAAATATAATGTAGTAAATATACAGACAACATGACAATAAATGTTAATAGAACAATAATATAAAATATAATTGTATATATAATACAAGAACACATTAATCTAATTAAAATCTCATACCTTATTTTCAGAGCTAAATTGTGCTGATAACATGTTATAAAATATAGTAAATATGAAGACAAGAGAAGAACAAGACAATACAAGAAATAGAGAGAAAATAATGAAGGAAAATTTGTATTTACTAATGTACATATACTTTAGATAAGACCTTTATTGATAGGCTTCCAATCATTTAAGTTCTATCATAATATTACAAAGATATAAATGGCACATAATGGTGCATTGATTAACTTTTGAAGGTTATAAGTTATTAACAATAATAAACTTCTTTCATGCCATTTATTAGGATATTAAGGATAAAAAAATTATAAAAATTATGAGTTATGGACATCCATAATATAATATTTATAATATATTTACAGTAAGATTATTTATTTACTCATATCTATAGATCCATAAATATATCTATATATATACACCCATAAGCCGTGCATCTCATTTATAATCTCGTTTCACCGCGCTACAATTACGTTTTAACCGCAACAATGTTTTGAATTATTCTCTCCATTTTGCCCGCCCCACCGTCCCACCCAATCTTCTTATTATTTGTGAGTTATCCACATTCGACATCATGCTTTCAACAGCTGCGTTGGAAAATTGCTATTGCAAGTTCAACATGGACAATGGTTCTATTCATTTCCAAAATCTTATTTCGGGGAGATGAATAACCTGTGACATGGCTTAAACGAGTAAAAACAATCGTTTTCTTTTCTACCAAGGAAATGACAGGACAGTGTACAACCTTAATAGTTAATATAATTACAAAATGGTATATTAATATAATTTTTTTAAAAACAATTAAACTATTGATAATTTTTTTGCCCCTTTTTTGGGCCAAAATCCACTCATAGTGTGAAGCCTAATGCTCCCTCCAAAGTATAGTGAGGCCCGCACTGTGAAGCTCCAATGGGCTAGATTATGATAAAAATAGCTTTGAAAAGACAGGTTCATGGGTCGTAGGCTTCTTCAACTCACACGCAAACTATGCGCCCTTTAAAGTTGAAGAATGGGCTGTAATGCGCAGCCTTCGTATCATCACATGGCTTGGGATATGGGCTTCAAGAAAGAAATTATTGAATCTGATTTGAACAGACTAGTGGATCTAAAAACGGACTGCATTATGGCCTGTACAATGGAAGCCTAGTCTTGTTGGAGATCCAGAACCTCCTCCTACATGACTGGAACGTGCTGGTGCAATTTGTCCCAATAGAGCAAGACACAGTTACTTCCTCCTCTCTTTTTGAAGTTGTTCCCCACTTTGTAAGGGATCTTGTATTGCAAAACCATGGGATTTCAATGGCCCGACTTCATTCAGTTCTTAATATAATATAGTTAAAGTAGGCTCAGCCCCCCTCGTTTACTAAAGGAAAAAAAAAAAGAAATTGGCCCCCATTCAGGTGCATTACCGAACCGTTACTGTGTTCCTGACTCCCTGTAGATTTATATTTATTGGATAAAATGACAATATCACCACCACCAACAAGAAGGCAACTGGATGGTTCCCACATTGCCACAGTGGCAAATGCGGAGAAAGGGATATATCGTGTACGATCCCGCCACAGAGCTCCGCCACAGCCCACAGCAGACGCTTCTGGGCATCATTTCAATATTCTTGTGGAAGAATAAGAACTGTGGTAGCTGCCGCCTGCTGTCGTGAACGACTGATCGGAAGGTGAAGCCATGGTTGCTGAGAAAGCCACGGACTTGTCAGACTTTGAGGACGAGGATGACCTCGACGAAGAACCCGGAGAAGCGATCGAATCGGCGCCTCCACAAAAGGTTGGCGAAGAGAGGGAACTCAATAATTCCCGCCTGAAGAAAAAGCTCCTCAAGCCCGGGCGTGGATGGGAGACCCCCGACTACAATGACGAAGTAACCGGTACTCATCTCTCCAACATTCTGGTTTTTAATGGAAGACAGTTGTAGAAACAACGTAAAATTCAGTTTTTAGTTGAAGTAGATGAGACGTAGACACCGTTCGTTTCTCGTAAAATATAAGGATAACGATGGTGTTGCTGAATGCAGTTCACTATGTGGGGACTTCGCTTGACGGGACAAAGTTCGATTCCACTAGAGATAGGGGCGAACCTGTCACATTTACAGTCGGTCAAGGTTATTTCTAGAACCCTGGTTGATATTTGTCCTAGAGTTGCTTCTAGAAATTCATGGTATAATTTTTAAGGAACTGTTTGATTCCTGGTGTGATAAAACCGTGCTCATATATTGATACCTTGATGGGCTTGACAGCTCATGTGGTTGCTGGGTTAGATCACGGGATTATCACGATGAAAATGGGGGAGGTCGCATTATTCACATTGCCTGCCGAGTCAGGCAATGAAGCTGGGAATTCCAGTAGTATTCCACCCAACTCGATCGTACAGTTCGAGGTTGAACTCATTTCGTGGATCAAAGTAGTAGATGTTTACAAAGATGGTGGGATTATCAAGAAAATTATGGAGAAGGGAAACAGGAATGAGCGACCCAGTGATCTAGATGAAGTCCTAGGTACTGAAACGCCACACGTATATATATTTTTTACTTCCTTTCCTGTTAACATATAAACTAGATGAATTATATCCATCTAATGCTTTCTGTTGCTGGCTTCTCTTTCTTATTATTTTACTGCTGCAGTGAAGTACCAGGTTACACTAATTGATGGCAATACCGTTGCAGAGACACCAGAAGAGGGATTTGAATTCCATGTGAAGGATGGTATTTATACACTTATTTCACTGAACAGGAAGAGAATTTATGTTTATCTTGTGGCTGACCAATTATCATACTTCTTGAAGGTCATCTATTTCCAGGATTACCAAAAGTAATTATGACTATGGAGATAGGAGAGAAGGCTACGTTAATTGTTCAACCTCAGTGTATGTCTTCTGTTCTGTTAGTCCCTCAACCAGTTCTGTCTTTCATGTTCATGTATTTACTGTCCAGAGTCTTGTTGTGATGGAACAACCTTGGTGTTTAAAATATGAACTGGACTGAATTGAGAATGGTGATATCATCTTTATTGAAATGTTCTTGCCAAGTATTAGTCAATATTAACTTTTATAGCACTTTGATTACAATAGAATAATTGCTATTGCTAAAAGAAGTTAACTTATGGGACCAGGAAGGAATTAATATGCATCAGTCATGAGAAGCCAAATGATGAAATTACAAGTGAAAGTTAACACTGATCTAGGTATAGCAATGTCTGTGAGTTAAGGTTCAAACTTCAAATCCTATTAATCTCAATGATTTTTACAGATTCATCAGCTATTCTATATGTGGATGCCAGCTTTTAATTTCATTGTCTTCCTCAGCTTTGGGGATCTTGTGGTCCAACGTCTCAAATTAGTTTGAACTTTGAAATAATGATATTTTTGTTTACTGCAGATGCCTTTGGAGAGAAGGGGGGAGAAGCAGGAAGCAGGCTCCATTCAATCCCGCCAAATTCAGTATTGCATGTTAATATTGAATTGGTATCCTTCAAGCCTGTTATTAATGTTACCGGAGACTCCAAAGTTCTAAAAAAGATACTTAGAGAAGGGGAAGGCTCCCTCACTGCCAATGAGGGTGCCATTGTTACGAGTAAGATAATAATGACCAATTCATTATTCAAACTGAGCAAGTGCTAATTTTATGTGTTATGTTATCTGATAACATAACATTAATACGACTTGTAACATCAGTAGCATTAGCATATAAGACTTGTAAAAGATACCTGATAGATCTGCTCTGAGATGTTACTCTAATTATCAAGTTTAAAAGTGAACTGAAAATGATGTAACTGACAAATCATTCAAGCCATATCTCTTCTATCTATTAATAGTCTGTGACAAATTTCATGTGTAGCTTTCACAGATTCCGTGCCACTTTATATGTCTTTGACAGATAATTTATTAGATCTGGGGAAATTTTTGAATTACTTCAAGTCACCATATTGAAGGCAGTTTTGTCAAAAGGTGAAAGGCGAGCTCAAGGGGCAAGTAAATAAAAATGTGTTTGGCAATGCATCATGCTTCTATGAAATCTAATGTTTAAATATATTAAGGAGTGTACTTTATGTCTCACCAGATAAAACACTTAATGCGACACAAAATGGAGCTGATATTTTATAGTAGAGCTTTGGGCTAGAAAATAGAAGATCAGGGATGGAAAATTTATGATATTTACCTTCTTTTCTTGAAGCACAACGAAGAATCACCTCTTAATCATAATATGGTGAACAACATTAGCACGTTTGAGTTGCAACCGATAGATATATGGACATTTTTTTTTCCTTTTAGTAATATCCTTTTTGTGGTATATATGAGTTATATGATATTATTCCAGCTATTTTCCATTGCACATCTCAATCATATGATTTCTTGATTCGGTTTGATTACCATGCAGTTAGCTATGTAGCTAAGGTAGAAGATGGCACAATATTTGAGAAGAAAGGAATTGATGAAACAAAGCCCTTGGAATTCATAACTGATGAAGGTATTTTTATCCCTACTGTTGCCTAACTTTGCTTTTTACTCTTTTGATTTATAGTTTGAGCCATCTAGGAAGAAATCATACTATTTTTTGTATGTCACTTCTGTAGAACAAGTCATTAGTGGTCTAGATCGAGCAGTGGCAACAATGAAGAAGGGTGAGAAGGCCATAATAAGTATACATCCTGATTATGCATTTGGAAATGCTGAGGCAAGATTTGATTTGGCTACTGTTCCCCCGGGTTCCAATGTAGTCTATGAAGTTGACATGATGGACTTTATTAAGGTAACATTTTACTTTCCACAGTGAATTGTAGATTTTGGCTTCATTCTATTGAATGTGAAGGAATCTTATTTCTTAGAGAAATGGAAACCAGAAATATAGTTTGCTTGCATATTCATATATGTATATTCCCCCCCCCCCATTAAAAGGAGAAAGCACCATGGGAATTAAATAATAGTGAGAAAATTGAGGCAGCTGGGAAGAAGAAAGAAGAAGGAAATCTGTTATTTAAAAACGGCAAGTATCAGAGAGCAGGGAAAAAGTACGACAAGGTATGTCTTGTTTTGAAGTGGCTTTGGTTTTTTGAAATTTCATTAATCTGTTTCTAGTGTTGTTAATTCCATGTTCCTCTGTCTTCTCTTAGGCTGTTGATTATGTTAGTGAAGATGAATCCTTCAGGGATGATGAGCAAAAGCTAGCTAAGGCACTGAGAGTGTCATGCTGGTTGAATGGTGCAGCATGTAGGCTCAAACTTGATAACTTTTCAGAAGCAGTTAAATTATGCTCGCAGGTAAACAGTCCACCAAGTCACGCATAAGATTTAAAGCAGCCAATTCAATGAGCACATTTTCTGGAGAATATAACATGTTTGTGAAAGGGAAGGGCGACAAATTATATGCTTTAGGTCAAGTACTTGGGAAATAAAGGGAAACAAACTAGTTTTCATAAGAGTACTCTTCAGTTGTTAAGATTTTCTTGAAATCACTGATTAACATTCAATTCCCTACTAAATTGTTTCATGAACATCAGCCTTATTTATGATGGCCTGAAATGTGGATGGTGAGAAGGGACTTCAAAGTTGGTTGTGTTAAGATTGTTCTTTCCTGAATTTAACTTCCTATTTTTTTTTTCCAGGGGGTATTATGTGCTATAGGCACTGTTGAGACAATGTGATTATTGTCCGGAAAGAAATAGCATAGAGTCCATAGTGTTAAGGGAAATTATGGTCTCACGTTTCATGCTTTCTGCACCAGGTACTTGATGTTGAGTTCCGCAATGTGAAAGCATTGTACAGACGAGCGCAGGCGTATATAGAAACTGGGGACTATATTTTGGCAGATGTAGACATAAATCGAGCTCTTGACGCAGATCCACAGAACAGGTACATGATAGACTTAATCCTATACCAATGTGAACTACTTAAATTAGGTTGGCTGTTTGAGTTTCTTAATATTGGAACAATTTGGTCTGTTCATTTTCCAGGGAAGTAAAGCTGCTTCAGAGGAAATTGAAGCGACTTGAACTTGAGACTGACAGAAGAGATGCTAAATTCTACGGAAATATGTTTGCACATAAAGAAGAAGACTCGTTTGTGGCAACAAAGGTGATCAGTGTGAAAACTTGTTTACTCTTTTCTGCTGTTGGAAGTTTTTTTATGTCTTTCCCCGAGCCCCAATTAGGAAATATTTTGGAGAAAGATTTGATTAAGTGCAGGGATTAAATAAGTTATAGATATAAATTTCACTTTGCAATTTTAAGCCAGGACCTGTTATGGTGTAGAATCACTGATATGGTAACAGAACCGATTCAAGCTCACTCCGTTTAACTGGAGAGTGTGGTTTTGGGACTGATTTGTAGATTATTGGGTTGAGAGAGCTAGACTGCTTGTATCTGAACTTGCGGTTTGTCACTCTAGAAGGACTCAGTTAAAGAGGGTGGGGGTGGCTTTGTGAGATTCTCGGTCTTGCTTTTGCATTTGTCAAGTGGAGAGATTCGGGGCGTTTAGCATGTGTCTTGGAATGCTTGTTGATCTATGAACTTAATTTGGGTGCTACTCAGAGGAGTTTATCTGTTCAGGTTGATGCCTTGATCGGTACCAAGTCTGATGAATAGTTTCAGGTTTCCTAGTAAAATCATTACATGTGGGAAAACTACTTGTGAAAATAGTGAATAGTTTCAGGCTTCCCAATATTTGGTTATAAATTCCTGCTACCCTTATTTCATTGTAGTGTAAATTGTATATGTAACACAAGCTGCTGTATTACAGAGATTGAAGGTTGAGAAAAGCAAGGAAGAAAGGAAAGATGAAGAGGTCGTGAGAGTGGAGGTGGACAAAGTCACTGACAATGCAGCTTCCCCTGATGGTGATGTAATTAACTAAGGCTTGATCAATCCATGGAACTTGTATAATACACGATAGCAGAAAAGGGAGCACTCAAAATGAAATGAAAGAGATTTTCACGTCCAAATTCTAACATCTCGGGAAAGAGGATATATTTTGAAATCGTGGGATTGGATCAAAATTCAAGGCAGCACTTTTGCAATGTTAAACTAATTAATTTGGGTACTCTCGGTGGTGGAAAAATAATGGGTCATCTTAAGCAAAATTTAACCATTCAATACGACTTTGAAAGTTTGAATCTACGGATGATGTTTTTCTTTTTTTTGGGTTAAATTATTCAAATATGAATGATTGATGTGGAAGGAATAATTTATAAACTCAAGCCTTATTTTTTAAGTTAAAATATGATATCTTCCAGTTAATCTTGCTGTTTTCTCCTTTTCTCCCCCTATGCTCTGTGGGATCATTCTCTATTCCGAATCCTAATAATTTTTGATAAAATAGTACATTTTAACCCTTTAAATTGATAGTTGGGGAGTGCTTTAAAGGAATTTTAGCCTCTTTCACATCAAATGCTCTTGCGGAAGGACAGACTCCGGAACGATGATCATCTTTATCTTATATTTAATTTTATCTAGATACGAAATTAAAACAAGCGACAACTACGACTATTATGCAAGCAAACAATCTATTTTGATTAAAATAGGACCATGAGCGGCTGTTGAAGTTGAGAACCCCGAATTTTAAAACATGGGTGCTGAGAGAAATATTAATGCCAAGCAAGCACGGCTCTGTTTCTAGATCCGGCTTCTCTCTGGTCATGTTTGGTAGGTTGGAATTGTGAAGATGGAAATGGAATTGAGATAGGAATCTGAATAAAGTGATGTTTGGTAGATATGAATTACAATTCCTGGGAATCCTAATTCTATGGAAAAAAGCTAATTTTGATTCCTTATGTAAATCTATGGAATTGGGAGCAATTCTATGGAATTGTAATGTTTAAGACACTTTTGCCCTCATACAAATTCCAGAAAGACAAATTTGCCCTCAAAAAAAAAAAAATAAAACCCTCATATGCTAGCAAAAAAAAGAAAGAAAAAGGGAGTATAAAAGGGTGAATAATATTTTTTCTCATTATATATAAAGCGTTATAATATATATATAAGATGGTATTATATATAATATTTGTATATAATTTATATATTTATAATATTTTTTGGTATAAGAAGTAGAATTGATTTGTTTGACATTTTTCTTCTAAATCTACATGTTAGTGTATTTATTTTAAAGTAAAAGGGATGGGAACCATTGCCAATTTTATTTTCAAGAAAATGTTCCCTCTGATGATAAAACTTTTTGTTTGGCCCAAGCTAGTGAATAATAGTTACAAATATAATCTATGATTTATATAATATTTTATTAATATATAAATACATAAGAAAATTGGTACACAATTAAGTTTTTATTATGTTTTAATTTTTTTTTATATAGGGGTATTTTTGTCTTTTAAGTATAATTCCATTTCCAGTCTTGCATACCAAACAAAAGTAATGCAAGGATTCCATCTAATTTTTCTGACATACCAAACATACTTTTATAATTCAATTCTATTCCAATTCTGATTCCAATTCTGATTCCAATTTCAATTCCAATTCCATCAAAAACTATTCCATCATACCAAACGGGGCCTCTATTTTTCTCCTTCTCCATTTCCTTTTCACTTTTTAGATAATCATTGGATTCATTTTTCAATAGTTGAGATTTGATGTTTTATTTAATTTTATGAAACATCAAATTTCAATCATTAAAAATAAATTTAATAATTAAAATGAAAAGTAAAAAAAAAAAAAAAAAAGAAATGAAGAGAATCCAACTCCCCGTTTCTCTACGTAACACGGTATAGTTTTAAGTTTTTGAGGGAGGGTGCATTTTTATTTTTGATTAAACCATGTGACGGTAGCTACAGTCTGCCGCGATACGTGGACTTCACAGTATGCCCTCTCCCCCTTTCTTTCCGACACTCCTCACTGACACCACCCTCACACTCTCTTATTGGTCAAAAGGATTATGAAAAATATGAAAGGTTAAAGATATTGAAAAAATGTTAATAAATTTTTTAAAATATATAAATAATAATTTAATCTCTTAAAATATTTAATATTTTAAAATTTTTAAAATTTTTAATTATTAATAAATTTATTTAAATTATTAAATTATTATAGTTAAAAATAAATAATTTATAAATTTTATTTAAATAGTCACAATTTTTTATATTAGTAATAATACAACAACAAAACATAATTTTGTATGTTAAATTTTTATTTGTTGTTGTATTATTACGAATATAAAAAAGAAGTTGTGAATATTTAAATAAAATTTATAAATAATTTATTTTTAATAAAGATAATTTGATAATTTAAATAAATTCATTGATGATAGCAAAGTCTCTAAAAACTTTAGAGAAATTATAACAATTTGAAGAATTAAATTATCATTTATATATTTTAAAAAAATTTTATTATCATTTTTTCAATAATATTTGGAAATCAGGACCAAAATTCAAACATAAGATTTATGTATTTATTCTCATATATTTAATATATTTATATTCAATAATTAAGTCATGATAAATGAATGTTAATATATTAATTAAATTTATAATAATATTTATAAATAATATATAAAAGATACATATATCTTAACTTAATTAAAAAATAAGTATATTAAATATATAATATCAAGTATATAAATTTTCCCCTGTTCAAAAAACACCCACAGTCCTTCAAAGGGATGAAGTTGTGCTGAGAAAATTATCAAAATATCCTTCTAATTTAAAATTGATCGGTATTAGAAAAGTATAGTAGATCCCACACGTGCTGTAATGTGACAACCCTTTTTTTTATTGTGTTTTTGGAGTTGAAAAGGCAAACCGAAGCTTGCAAGAGAGTTAGTTACAAAAAATTTAGAGGGTCGAGCAAAGGCTCTTCTCTCCATAGAAAATTCCTTGACAACGCCAAGGAACTTCTGTCCAATGGAACATGACACTTCCTCGTTACTTTTTAATATATAGGGTGATAGAAGTTGAGAAGTCTGCCTGCGAAAAAGGGAAGAAAATATTTTATACTTTATAAAAAATAATAAAATGATTAAAAATATTAGAAAAGGAAAACTCCACGGATGATTTAAATTCACAATGGTATGAACTTCAATTATCTTCCACATATTTTTAAAAATATGTTCACGATTTCAAATTTTTTTCAAGAGTCTTCATTAATTTTCAAAATTCTTCAATGCGTCTTCAAGACATTTTTTTAGAATATATATTAAAGACTTTTGAAAAAATGTAAACCATAATCAGGAAAATGTGAGATTTTTATTTGAATATTTTTCTAAAACAAAATATTTTTTAAAATAGAATATTAAATTTTCAGGATAAAATTATTGAATATTTGAATAACTTAGAAAATATTCAAATATTTTCATAACAATGCGAATATTTATTAAATTATTAGAATATTTCAATTTAATATTCTTTTTTAAAAATTTTTTTTAGTGAAAATATTCTGAAATTGTAAAAAACTCATTGTCCTTTTACTATAATAGAATTTGTTCGGTTGTCTCTGTCACCCTCTATTAGATTTAGATTTGGTGCCTATCTCTAGTATAAGTATTGAGTGCTTATTTCATTTAAGTCATTAAAATTTATATCAGTAATTTTAAATTCATATTCCACCTAAGATTAATAAATGTTGAGTTTATTTAAATAGTTAATTTAGATTTCAAAGGCTCAAATGGAACATGTATTACTTTGTCAAGTGAGAGGAATCCCAGACATGACTCTTTGATGCTCTGGCTAACTAAGGCCCTGATTGCTCTACTTTATCTTCCCTTCTCTTTGAAATTGGTGATGTAGGATTGATGTGTTCTTGCGTTGAAGGATTATTTACTTTTCTAACTCTAACAAATTGGCTTGTAAGTCCACTTAAGTTTAGGGTGGAGGAATATAATGGTAGTCTTCCTGCTCTTGTTTTAAATCTATACTTATGGATTAAGGTTATTTCAAAACTTTGATTGAATTGTAGCAGTTCTTCGATTTAAAATCTCTATGCTGGTTTATAGCATTTTTGCTTGTTGGTCATTGATGTCAGATTTCCAGTGTCATTCTTTTAGATTTACCCACTCATACTGGGTTCTCTCACACAACACTTCCCACCGCCACTCAATGTAGTGACTCTAAACAAATCCAACATGCCGTTCGATTTTTCAAGAAGGTACTATAGTCTCTGTGTGTGTGTGTATATATATATGTGTATTTAACATGGATAACTTTTTTACGTTAAGGAGAGAAAAAGAAAAGTTATCCCTGCAATCCTTAGTGCTCTAAATATTTAACTATTGTTTCTTATCAAGTGGCTGGCTGTTCACCCAAAATTTCAATCAAACTCAATATACCTTAGTGGAGACTCGTATATTGGATTTATTGTCCCTTTTAAGAGTGTTCAATTTGAATCCATTTCGATTGGTCTAATATCATTCCGATCGTATCGAGACGGGTCACGTCCTAGCTCAAAAATAATATAGACGGGATATAAAAGGGATTACCATCTGCACGTCCTGTCCCGTCCTAAATATTATATATATTATTTTTTATTTTAAAAATATATATTAAAATATACTAATTATATTAATATAATTTATACTTTATTAATTATATCAATTATAATTTTAATACTTATAATTCTTATATAAAATTAAAGTTTTTTATATTAATAATTTTAATGATATAGAGTAAACAGAGTGAAATATTTCTTTATAATATATTAATTATATTAATACAATATATATATATATATATATATCTATTTAATAACTTTTTTTATATTGTATTTCTTGTTTCATTTTCTAAAGAATAGTTAGCCTAGCATATCTCAGCTAAAGTAGAAGAATAATGATTTGATGTTGTACTTAACTTGTTTATTGTTCCTGCTTTTATAGCCTAGAGACCACTTATAATTGTTATTATAATGTGTAGTTGTGATTAATATAATTCAATAATTGACTTTAAATTATGGTAATTTATGTACTTGTGTTGTTTTGATTTAAAATTTAATAAATTATATTATTTAAAATTTTAATAAATGTTATTATTTAAATTTTTCTCTGACATTATCAAATTTATTGAGATGGTAGAACCTCCCGATCTCATCCTGATTTATAACGAGACGGGATGACTTTTGAGATGAAACAGGACAGAAGACGAGACAAAAATTTAGTCTTGTTTTTTTTTGGGATGGGACACTAGACAGTAGTATCCCGATCCCATTTCATCTCGTGAACACCTTTAGTCCTTGTGGTCCTTAAAATTTTGAAAGGTACGTCCACTTCTCATCTTTCAACCACATAACACAGCGACATAATTTTCCTTGAGACCCTGCAGTGCACTGAGCAAAAGGATGAAGTGCATGGATATAAATTTATACCTGTAATAGCTGAGTTCTTGATTTCTAGAAGGTTGAATGGAGATAAAAGCTAATAACAGCAAGATAGTAAAGTTTTTTAAAACTCTGGTTTTGCAGGAAATGAGAATAGTATAGAGACTTCAATTAATTTCAAGGCATGTTCTTAAATTTCCTTCTCTAGACATAGGGGTCTCATGATCACTATCCCTAACTTTAAGATGTTGATCTCATTATTAATTATCAAGGGATACTTGCTGGGAAACCCTAGCACAGACAATGCTATAGATCAGAACCATAAGATTCCATTTGCTCACGGGATGGGGCTCATTCCTGATAAACTCTGTGAGGTGATTTCTACATAAAGATATCGATATACCTGGCAACATCTAAAGATGAAGGGTTGTTATTGATCAAATAAATCAATCCGTGCTTGCAGTCATTGAAAAGCAGCTGTGGGGGAGAGTATCATAATCTAGATCGAGATTTATCGGCATATGAAAAGGTAGGCATTGATAATGAGTTGGTGCTTATTTGATTAATTTGGTTTTTCTTTTCATCATGTTTGTGGTAATATGTGTCTGCCAGTGAGGATTTTAAATTTTAGTGTGTCTCAGGATTAAGTGAAGCTCATGTTTTGCAACGCCGATGTCCCTTTATTTCTCTAAAACCACAGAAGTTCTCTGGTAGAAGATCTCCTGATGAGATGGCTGAATCCTTCCTTACCTGTTCTGAATACCCTTTGACGAATAAAAGTTAGTTGAAGTTACCCTATCTTAATTAACTTTAAAATCCAAACTTCGCAGTGACAAGTTTATCATCTTAATACTCATCTTGAATTGGATCCGTTGATCATTTGAATTTAAAGTACAGGGGACTCAACTACACTATCATATGGCAATATATATTGACCAAAATAGTAATTTATATATAATTATAAGAATATTTTTAACAACTTCACGCGAGTTAAAAATTTTAGCATTAGTCGGCTATGTTTTTTAATTCATGCAAAATTTTAGCAAATTTGCTCATAGGAAACAAGCTTTTAATACTACCTCTGTTTTAAATATAAATTTTTTACAAAGCATTTAAAAAAATGCCTTGGAACATGCGCACAGGGATTTCTATCTCATCCAAGGAGGACAACCGAGCAACTATTTGATAACGTTTGTCCCGATGGATGAATAGATTTCAGCTTTTATCCAAAAAAAAGAACGTGTTGGAAACGTAGGACACCACGCTATGTCGGACAGATGCCCGTGTTGACAGACTTGAGGCTTGACTGACTGGAGCCTGGAGAATTTGAAATGCACCTGGCTTCTCTCCATGTGCTCCTCTCTCTAATTTTTTAACTTTTCATTTTAATTATTAAATTTATTTTTAAATGATTGAGAGTTAATGTTTTTATAAAATTATTATCAAAATATAAAATTTTATGATAATAAATAAATTAATTAATTTTATAAAATATTAATCTCAATCATTTAAAAATAAATTCAATAATTGAAATGAAAAGTGAAGAGAAAATGAGAAGAGAAGAAAATATAGAGAAGCTAAATCTATTCGAAAATGGTTACACCATTATTTCCTCCTGTCCCATTATGTTTTAGCAAAAAAAAAAATTTGGTATTTAATATAAAATTAAGGAATAAAAATATCCCAATTTTTTTTAAAAAAACACTAACTATCTTTATCTTTTAATTGGAATAACGTTATCTCAAATTTTTTTCAAAAAGTATATTTTGATTATTAAATAACTTAGTTTGACCAATAGATACTCTGTAGCATTTAAAAAAATAAATAAGAAAATGTCTTTTCCTTTTCTCTTCTCGACCCAGTGAGCTTGAGATGGAAGCTTCAGCTCATCTGCAATTTTTTTTTTTTGCCATGTGTGTCCAACTCAACTCACCCCCATTTAACTAGTTCGTTGTGATTTTTTTTTTTTTGTCAAACCAAGTGATTTGATGGTCAAAATATATGATAGTAAATGTTAGAGTGATACTGCATTTTTTTTTTAAATTTGAGAATAATATCAACCCAACTAAAAGGTAATAATACTTAGTATTATTTTCAAAAAACTTTTAAATTATTTTTACCTTTCAATCCTTTAATATAAGGTAATTATATTCTTTTTAATATTACTACCATTTGAATTCATTAACTATGAAAAAAATATAATGCAAATTTTTAAAATTTTTGTTTAAATATAAATAAAATTAAAAATATATTATATTTAAATATAGATAAAATTAAACACTTACAATATTTTTTTACACGAAGTTATCCATTTACTTAACCACTTCTTCGGTTCGCTGAGGAGGCGGTGATAAAGACTGGAGAAATACATCATCAATGCTACTATCAATGGTAATGCAAAGTAAGCACGATGCTCTTCATTCGTCTGTCACACTATCACCTCCGAGAAGATGCCACGGAATATATAATTATTTTATTTGAAGGGCGAAGACTAATAACTCCGATGATTTTGATCCCCTATCACACCCTTCAGGTTTCTCAAATGCTGATCATGACAGGATTCGTTCACGATTGCGTGCTTGCCTTTGCCTTTGCCTTTCCCGAGTCCAGCTCATTTAACTCGCCGCTCTTAACTCTTAAACTTGTCCATCGTTCTAACGTTTCCAGATCACGAGTCCGTATCGCAAACAAATGAGCAGGACAACACTCCGAATCAAGCCAATGGCTGCTGCTTCTTCGACTTCCCCAGTTTCTTCATCCTTCCCAGTAACTCTGCTGCTTCTTCTTCTTCTTCTATCTACACAGGATTGCCCCACTTTTGCAGTCTCTCGCTCAACTGCTGCGTTTCTTCCTGGGTTTCAAGGGCCCCTTCCTTTCCATCTTGAAACTGGGTACGTTCCTGTTCATGGTTTCCCTGAGAAAGTAGAAACCATACTTTGTGACGTCTGTCGTGTTGACTGTTACTGTTAATGACATTTAATAATGCATGACGAAAACAAAATACTATTTAAGGTATGTGGGGGTTGGAGAATCAGAGGGTGTGCAGCTTTTCTACTACTTCGTCAAGTCAGAGCGAAATCCCAGACAAGACCCTCTGATTCTCTGGCTAACCGGGGGCCCTGGTTGCTCTGCTTTATCTTCCCTTCTCTTTGAAATAGGTAACACGGGGATCGCAATGTTCTTGTCTATTTTGTTCCAGAACTCCATCGTTTTAGGATTATTCGCTTTTCTAACTCCACTAAATGGCCTTTAAGGTCCGCTTCATTTTCGGATGGAGGAATATAACGGTACTCTGCCTACACTTGTTTTAAATCCAGACTCATGGACCAAGGTTATTTCATAACTTTGACGAACTCGTAGTGATTCGTCAATTTAAAACTTATATATTATGGTCCATAACATTTTTGCTTGCTGGTGATTGATGGTCAGGTTTCCAGCATAATTTTTGTAGATTTACCTGCTCATACTGGATTCTCCTATACAACATTCCCCATTGCTCCTCAGCGGAGTGACTCTAAACAAATCCAACATGCCGTTCAATTCTTAAATAAGGTACTACCACGCATAACCTTTTCTTTTTCATAACAGGGGGGAGTATCTTCTTTCGTTTTGTCATTTACCATACATGACTAAGGTTATTTCATTATAAATGATTAACTGTTTTTCTTGTCCAGTGGTTGAGTTTTCACCCGGAATTCCACTCGAACCCAATGTACATTGGCGGGGACTCATATTCTGGAATGATTGTCCCTGCAGTTGCCCTTGAAATCTCCAAAGGTAAGCCTGCTTCTCATCTTTCATGCACATAACACTAAGGCAATATTCACGGTTAATTTTCCTCAAGACTCTGCACATGGTCAAAGAATGAAGTGTGAAACGTTCTGTTAGATGTAAGATTGTACGTGTGATAGCTGAGTTCCTAATTTTTAGAACGTTCAAAGGTGATTAAAAATTAAGATAGCAAAGTTGTTGAATGCTGTGGTCTTGCAGGAAATGAGAACGGTTTAGAGCCTTCAATTAATTTACAGGTCGGTAATTATTTATGTTCCTAAATTTCCTTCCCTAGACATAGGGGTCCCTTCATTGTCTCCAACTTTAGCTGATAGTGACCTGGTTGTAATGAAGGGATATTTGCTCGGAAACCCCTCAACAGACGGTTCTATAGATGACAACCATAGGATCCCATTTGCTCATGGTATGGGACTTATTCCCCATGAACTCTATGAGGTAATTAATCTCTAGAGACATCAATGGGTTGGACTTAAAGATGAAAGGTTTATTACTGATCAAATCAATCAATATGTCCTTGCAGTCATTAAAAAGAAGTTGTGGGGGACAGTATCAAAATGTAGATCCTAGGAATAAAATGTGCGCCGGATATATTGCAGCATATCAAAAGGTAGGCAATGATATTAAGTTGGTGCATGCTTGGATAATCTTTCTTTCTTCATGATCTGTAGCAATGCTTATCTGCCAATTTTAAATTTCAGTGCGTTTCAGGAATAAATTTCGCACATATTTTGGAACCCACATGTTTCTTTGCTTCCCCAAAACCACAGAAGTTCTCTGACAGGAGATCTCTCGATGGAATGCCTGTATCCTTGCTCGCCTCAGACCCTCAACCATCACTTCCTCCTATAGCATGCCGAGTAATTTCACAATCTGCTCCACTGATATTCCTTTTCTGGTTCTATATCCTACCTTTATTAACACGACAAGAAAAGATGCAGCTTCTGTTTAAGCACTTGTTTACTGACTTGAATTATGAATTGATTCGTAATGATGTTTATTTGCATGTAGAATTACCAAGGTTTGCTATCTCAGTATTGGGCAAATGATGGTTCTGTTCACAAGGCCCTTGGCATCCGTCAGGTATGAGAATGATAAGATTCCTTGACCAGTTGACTTCACATTTTCATAGTGATCAAGAAGCAAGAAAACGCATCTTTGAGTCAGTGAGTGTAATTTTGATGCTAAGACAGGGAAGCATAGGGAAATGGGTGCGATGTATTAAGACACCTTATACCAAAGAAATTGAAAGCAGTGTTCCATTTCATGCGAACTTGAGTGCTAAAGGTTACCGTGCGCTCATATACAGGTCAGGCAAATGGCTGTACGTGAATTACTAGTACTAGTACTGCCTTTGGAAAATTGCTGATGGTGACTTCGAATTCTTGTCATTTGGTTTTTCTTGGTAGTGGAGATCATGACTTGGTTGTCCCGTTTCTGGGAACTCAAGCGTGGATAAGATCTTTAAATTACTCCGTTTTAGATGAGTGGAGGCCATGGTTAGTCAAAGGCCAGGTCGCTGGGTAAGCATTTAGACAGACACAACAGTTGTTTCTTATTTTAATCCAACATTTGCGAGATGATGTGATTTGGAGTTGCTGGTTGTTGTGCAGTTACACAAGGACATATTCAAATGAGATGACGTATGCGACTGTCAAGGCAAGAAACAGCGTCTCAGTGTCACTTTAAAGAATTATGGTTTAGGGCGATGAATTTCATATTCATTTTAAGTGTTCAAATTAATTTGCAGGGTGGAGGGCACACTGCTCCGGAGTACAAACCTGAAGAATGCTTTGCAATGTTTGAGAGGTGGATTTCTCATAAACCATTATAATTTTGAAGTATTGATCTGCTGAAAGTTCAAGCTTCTCGATCGCCCATCTTTTAATCAAGCAATCCCATTTGAAGGATGAAATCAGATGCTAGTATATCAGTCTGTCAGTTAATTTGAAAGTCCCTAAATTATTGAACAGCTTTGTGTTTGTTTATCTTTCTTTTCTGCAAAAATTGATTTTCCACCATCTTCTCTATTTAAATATATCATTTGACATTCTGACTTCTAATAATCTTACGTGCATGTGGCGTTCAATGCATCCAATATTTGTTTTGTTTAGAGGCTCAATGTCCATATCTCTGTTTGGTTCATCGATACTTATTCTTGTAAAGTCCTAAATCTGCTTGGAGGTGTCTTTCTAAAGAATGATTTCCAAGATTGTGAGTCCAACAATTTTAGATATAACTGCTTGGCCTGAGATCTGTGGAGCTCCGTCCTTGAGTGTAACTATATATACATCAGCAATGCACTTTGAGCTGGTTCTGCTACTCTAGGACCAACAACCTTCCATTATATTCTTTGGATCCCAAGAAATTCTACATGAGCATGCGTCAATGACCACAGTGACCTTCAAATATTGTACGGATTGTGTTAAGTGATCTTAATGATATTAAGTCATTATTGGCAATGATTACTACAAATCAACAACATAAATCATCAACCCTTTGATGGTGAAACTGGTTATAACTCCCAAACTCTAAGAAGAGGATCTATGTTAATATCTCTCTATGAGTAGCATTCAATCTCCCTACATCAATACGATAATACATAATCCTTTATATTATTTTTAGGTTCACCAACTAATTAAGTAATTGGCACTAATCACCTTAATTAATTCAACGGCTTCGTTTCAGAGTATATGTTTCCAACTTTCCTCGCATTACATGTACACGGGGTTATTTATAGTACGTAACTTCGATTTTTAGCTAATAATGATCTTGAAATGATCGTGGACATGCTCGCGAGTTGCGAAAGTCGCTTCTAAAGGCAACAACTATAAGGTGGTTTTTGGTAGAGGACATCGCGAGCTAGGTCTTTCCTCCTCCTCTTTATGAAGTTCATTTGTATATATCTTGGCGCTGTATTCATATTGAATGAGACTCTCCCCTTTATTCGAAAAAGCAAGGATAAGACTAATCCAAGTCTGAATAAGTCGATGGGCCGAGTGAGATGAAGTAACGTGTACTAAAGGAACTCTCTCTCTTCAAGATTTCAGGAATTCTACTTGTCTTTCCGCCAGGATTTTAAAACATTCTAGTATCTTTCTTTCATTTACTATTAATATAACTGCATTTTGTTGGTTATCAGATTATACGTCAAGCAAATGATTACCGTACTTCTGCCCTTTCCCCAGGACCCGGGGTGGCGAGGGAGAGAAAGTAGAAACAAAGCTAAAAACTCCTAACGCATCATGTGACGCCCGGTATCTTTTTACTTCAAAAGAAAAAACAAAAAGAAAAACTCACAGAAGCTGTCAATTTCTGTTTCAGCGGTCCAGTTTGTTAACAGAGACATATCACACTTGGCGTGAATAAATAAAATTAATTTCGGTGCCTTTTTCCATATATTGTGAAACTCAGACATGGTGACTGGATGGTCACCCAGTGGCTACATTCTGATTAGGAGCACGGGATAAACCCTTCAACGAGCACCACACAACAGTCAGTTTCTGACGTGTTATGCAGCGTTTCCTAGATTCTCCTTCATTTAATGGCTTCTCTCTTTTCTGTTTCAGTTTATACTATTTATGGAAGAATCGTTAAGCTTGGTGCAACATAGCATTTGAAATGGGAAGTCTTAGTTGTAATCATCACTTGATTGAAATTCTCCTCCTCCTTGCAGCACTCCTGTTGCACATTTCGTCTCAGTCAGCAACATGTGGCTCGATTGTCAAGTCTCTTCCTGGCTTCCAGGGACCGCTCCCTTTTGTTTTAGAGACAGGGTAGGCTCGGTTAAACCGCGATCTCTGAGATTTAGAGCGTGAAAGAGTATGTCGCTTTGAGGCTGATCAGTGTTTAGTGTTGAATTTGGGCCAGGTATGTTGGAGTTGGTGAAACAGGGGATGTGCAGCTGTTTTACTACTTTATCGAGTCACAGAACAATCCCAGAGATGACCCTCTCATGCTCTGGCTGACCGGCGGACCCGGTTGCTCTGGAATTTCGGGTCTCGCTTTTGAAATTGGTAATAGTTGAAATACAAACCCTTTCTCTGCAAATAGCTAATAAGTTTGAAAGTACACTGGTTCATGGCAACGGCAAGTGATATTTCCTTGAGCAGAAGATAAAAGCCAGACCCTTGAAATGAAAGTAATCACTTTCGCAGGTCCCGTTGGATTTCGAAACCAGGAATACAATGGGAGCGTGCCTGATCTTGTCTTGAGACCCAGTTCTTGGACAGAGGTGACATTATCATTATTCTTTGCTTGATTTATCATGTGCTTTGGTCAAACTTTCTGCTAGTTATACAAAGTTTTCAAAGTGATCAGGTGAGCAGCATCATATTCGTAGATTTGCCTGCTGGTACCGGCTTCTCTTACTCCAGAACCATCCAGCAAGGTGACTGGATAACAATTCATCATGCCCATCAATTTCTCAGGAAGGTAATGTTCCCTTGTGCTAAGTTATTTTTCATTAAGTTCCAGTGAGGAGAAGGATGGGAATAGATTCGACATACTTGGAAGTAGCGTGCGGGTAATAATCATGTTTATTGTTTTTAGTGGCTGATTGATCACCAAGAGTTCCTGACCAATAAAGTATATATCGGCGGCGACTCCTACTCCGGCATTACTCTCCCTGGGATTGTTGAAGAGATATCAAATGGTAAGCGTAGGCCACTGTTGAAATTAGTAGTCGTAAGAAACTTAGCAAGGTCTGGAGTCAGGTCTCTCATTTTTGCCCTCTAATCTACCGTCTCAATTCTCAATTGAGTTCTGGGCAACAGCCAGCCAACGCTTCATTCAAAGTGCGCCTATGTGTTCCTATAGGGATCTCCACCTGGGACCTCTTAGTGGGCCGCACGTGAATCGGCTTTATAGAAACTTTAATATTTATTCATATAATATATGTCGTTTAAATATGTTTGACAGAAATTGAAAATACTAAAATTTATTAATTTTATATTAAAAATTTAATAATTTTTAATATTATTTTTATTAAGTATACATGTTTTAATAATATATTTTTTTCACAATAATAGTAAAAAGAAAAATTTACAATAAAAATTTAATGATATAATTTATAAATAAGATAAAAATTCTTCTTACCTTATGTTATAAATAGGGCCAGATAAAGCACTCATGTCACACTCTTTCCGCACAAAAAAAAAACTCCTCTTGCACTTCTCGTAGTGTTGATTGTTATCATTATCGTGATCATTATCATGGCCACGGTTATCTGATAGCTTGATCGCTCACCGAAAGATTCCATTATTCGCAGGAAATGAAGCTGGTGTCCAGCCCCGGATAAACCTTCAGGTTTGTATTTACTCTATTTTACTTTCTTTTTCTTGATTTTATGCTGGTGTTTTTACGTGCACGAGAGATTTGAATTTTCAAGGATAAAAAAGAGCTCTTAAAACATATTTAGAAAATTGTTAGATATGATAAACATTACGAATTTGAATTTTGTGAATTCACTGATACGGTCTTAATAGTATGTAGATACTCTTAACTTTGAATTTTTAACTTTGAAACAGCGGAGAGTATAAAAATTATAAGAAACCAATGATTTATAAATAGTGAAAAAAGATTTCTGGACAATATGAATGTGGGGGGAAAAAAACCTCTTTACCATGAACATGGCTAACCGAGTTACCTTCAAGTTTTTAATAAAAATTAATATTGCTCGTGAGAATATTTGATTTGATTACATTTTTTTATCTTTAATAAGATATACGTTTTGATACAACTCCAAAGCATCATTTATTAAAATTTAAGATATATGCAAATAAATTAAGAAAGTACAATTAATAGAGAAGAATACTGATTATATTGTCAAACCTGTTACTAAAATTTAATAAACGATGCTTTGATGTTTTCGGAGTTAAATAAGAGCATGATAGGAAAAATATTTTTAAAAAATACTGTTATTTTAAAATGGCATTTAAAAGAAAACAAATAAAATTCTCCAAAATGACTTATATTTTTAAAACAGGAGTGTTATTTATGGATCTACGCGTCTTTTTTCCAAGATGGTTTAATTCTCCAGTCAATTGCAAAGGGGCACGGCTAAGTAATAAACTATAAATGTTAAAAAGAATTTATCATAGTTTGTTAGCTCCAAATTGTCCCTCATAAAATTGATGTTTATTTTCATTAAATAAATCTGTTTCATTCATTTTTTTAGATTGTATGAATTGAATATTTTATTTCATATTTAAAAATGGATAGGGTATATGATGCTTGTTTCTTCAGGGATACCTGCTGGGTAATCCGGTGACATCATTCCAAGCCAATTACGGAGTTCCATTTGCTCATGGAATGGGGTTAATTTCTGATGAGCTTAATGAGGTAGTTAATTTTAATTATCACCGAAAACCATTAAAGGACAATCATTGTTAAAGGCCGGTAATTTTGTTGATAAAATGATAGAGAGAAAAGCTAAATATTCATTAATGGAAGTGATACAATATGACAATGGGATTGATCCTTCACTTAAAGGATTTATCAAATTAATCTACCCACTTGGATGACTCTCAAATGTCATTTTGGAGACCAATTTGAGGTGAGAACTTATGTTAACCACCCTCTTGAAGGAGGGATTAACCTCCTTGCTCAACACAATGATATGATCCCTTTATATAGATTTAGAAGTATCAACTAACTAGGTGATTAATACTAATCACTCCTAATATTCCAGCAAATCTAAATGTTGTAAACAAATCTAAATAATTTCATATACTCAATGAGCAGTCACTTCAAAATAGTTGCGGGGGAGAGTATACAAGCATAGACCCCAAAAATTTAAACTGTGTCAGAGATATGCAGTCCTTCCAAAAGGTAAACGTACAATTCGTGGTCATCCATATTAATCCTAGATCGATCATAGTGTTTCTAAGCTCCCCTAATCTATTCTAGCATTGCTTCAGTGCATTTCAGGAATTAATTTTGCCCATATCTTGGAACCCCTATGCGAATTCGCATTGCAAAAGCCATTTGATGAGATTTCTTGGAGAAAATATTTCACTTACAAGCCCAGGGCAGTTCTCGAATCTCATCTCTCAGTGCCACCCTTAAGCTGCCGGGTAATTTTTCCGGCACGATGCACTGTGCCTGTACTGTAATTTAATTCTTTCACAAACTAACCCACTTTAGTAATGTATCTCAAATATTTATATATTTGTTGGTTTGCCATCATCACAGACGTATGCTTATTTCCTATGTGGTTACTGGGCCAACCACCCCGATGTTCGCAAGGCGCTGGGTATCCGAGAGGTGTGTGTGTGTGTGTGTGTGTGTGTGTGGTTTATGATTTATGATTCGTAAGGAATATTCCAGTTTTCAGATATGAACGAAAGATACAGATTACAAACTGCATGTGGTGCAGGGAAGTATAGGGAAATGGCAGCGTTGTGAAAATAGAAACTACAAGTTCGAGATCAATGGGTCTTTGGAATATCATATGAATCTTAGCAGAAAAGGCTATCGTTCTTTGATCTACAGGTTAGATTTTTGTTACGTACCTTTGCTCAATGCTCACCTAACCTAGCTGGTATTGACAATATGAAGTTTAAGTACGCTTAATTTATTAATTTTAAGGCGTTAAAATGCAGTGGCGATCATGACATGATGGTTCCTTTCTTGGACACTCAAGCCTGGATAAGATCTTTGAATTACTCTATCGTGGATGACTGGAGGCCATGGGATACTAATGGCCAGGTTGCAGGGTAAATATACATCTCGTCACTCAATAAAACAACCCTAATATATATTATATATTTGTTCTTGAAGCTATAACAAAGCTGGCCGCCTTTTTCCCTTTTCGGGTAGATACACGAGGTCTTATTCCAATCAAATGACATTTGCAACCGTGAAGGCAAGTGTTGGATTTCTTCTGATATATATAACTTGATCTTTTGTGGAATGAAAATCTTTATGATATGTTGTTGATGAAAGTACAGGGTGGAGGACATACAGCTCCAGAATACAAGCGTGAAGAATGTTTTGCCATGTTCAGTCGATGGATATCTAATGGACCTTTGTAGGAAGATGCCGTTGAGTCAAGGGGACAATCCATAAAAACTGGCCTGAGATTGTTTCTTGTGATCAGATGATGACACCTGAGAACTGTATAATTACTATAAAGAAACTGAAAACTAATAAATAAAATATCCCTATATTTTATTGGTATCATTACTTGCAATATATTTCTTGTCTTGTGTCTTTGGCAGCTGTTTACCATTAGCCTCGCGTAAAATATTTCACATGCGTTGAGTATAATTTTTGTATGAGAGTGAAAGTTGAGGCGATACTATAACTCCATAAAAAAATAAAATAAAATAAAAGGATTCAAATAAAATGATCGTCCGATCATGCTTCCTGCATCGTGGTCTGGCCATGCTGCCCTGGTGAGTGTTAGTACGTATGTAAGGGGTTGTTTCAGTTGGTGCCCGCTTCTTCGTTTTCATGCTCAGCTTGTTAAGAGCTATCACGGGCTAATGGGCCACGTTCTATAAGGCCCCTTACAGTTGAATTAGACCCTTCCTCTTTTTTTTTTTTTTTTTATTGCTCCATGTATTAAAGAATCTGGAATATTGCTACAGCCCGTCTAGACTAATATGAACCTTGTTGCGTGGGATCACATACCATTATTACCAATGGTGGACTCATGGGTCTCTTGTATATTTCAGCATTTTCAAACAAAAATAATTCTCAAGTCTCACACGCACTCACACAAAAAATCTAAATACAATAATACATAAATTTTTCATGAAATTTCAAAATTAATAATACATAAATTTTTCATGAAATTTCAAAATTATTTTGAAGTCTAATGTTCATTATTGAAGTTGTTAGTTTTTTATATTGACGTTCTCTATTATTACTGTTTAATAGTTGTTAATCGATTTATTTAATAAATAAGCAACAATAATTTATAACTATTTGACATAAATAGACAAGTTCAGCAAATAACGTGAGATTTTAAAATAATTTTATGATTTCATTAAACTTTTTTGTATAAAGATTGCTTGTATAGTGCATGAGAGTGATTTCATTATAAAGATTACTTTTTTGAAATAGCGAAATAAAATTAAATTTCAGTATTCTCTCTAATCAAATTTTCATATAGTAACAGTGACCTTCTGAATTCTAACCCATCTAATTTTTTTAATAAAAAGGTTGACATTCATTGTTTTTTTTTTTTTTTGGGGGGGGGGGGAGGTGATGGGCATTGCTGTTTCCAAGATTATTGACACAACAGAATGGAAAGCAAACGAAAACTATAAACCGTTCGTCTAGCTAAATTAGGTTTAGATTTGGCTAAAACATCCTTATTCTATTGCCTGATTATCTTCGTGAGAGATTGATCAGTCATTAGCACTATGCAGACTAACAAAGTCAATAATAAATTCAACATGGAAAAATTGTTTTTAATTTCATCATATATAATATCTGGAGCTCATTATTGACAATGTGCTCCTTTGAGGTGGGGCAATTGTGGAGCAAGATGATAGTGATGTGCTAAATTCTCGGATTCATTTGTGTGGAGTTTATGAATTCTTTTAAAACGAAAAAAGCGAATAACTTACATTTTTATTTTAAAAGAACTCAAAATGTGCTCAACATATTTACACAAAAAAGGAACTCTGGTTTTGCATATGTAGAGTCGTGTTTCATTTTCAGCTCATCTTTCAAATTAAGAGGTTTAGAAACACAACCTGTCTACGGACATGATTCTGGGACATTACTTTTAATAAGAGATGGTTTTTCAAAGGTTGCTGGCTTCTTTAACGACGCATCAAGATTTATACTCAAGTCACTTTCAGATGGTTTAAATTTAATATTTTTAAATATTATTGAAATAAGAAATAAATTAAACTAGACGGTTAAAAAAATTATAATCTTAAATAATTTAGAACCAAAAATACGACTTCCACATTTGGAGGAGTCCTATGTCCTCTACCTTAAAAAGGCAGCTGCACAGATTACCTTGTTCTCCCAAAAAAAAAAAGGGTTTTAGATTAAACTATAACGCCCAAGCACTTAGTTAGCAGCATTCATTATTGGGAAGAATGATAAAGAAGTCTCAAAAAAATTAATTAATTTAAATTAGATTTTAAGTGTCAAACTCTAAAAATTAACAAATTAATCTCTCAATTTTGTAATTATATTGTGATAAATTTGTAATTTATTTTTAAATTTTGACATAATTAAAGAATAAAAAATATTTTTCTTGTTAAAATTTAAAATAAAAATTATAAATTTATTATAACAAAATTGTAAAATTAAGAAATTAAATTACATATTTTTGAAATTTGATACTTAAAATTTAACTTAAATTAATTGATCCTTTTGGGACCTCTTTAATATTCTCCTTCATTGTTGGTGTGTGAAAATAGATTATAAAAGAATTGAATAGAATATAAATAAGAATAATAATGAAAACAAGAACAAGGATGTGAAAGAGAATAAAAGGAAAAATAGCAATTAAGGACCACTGTATGAAATTTATATTAATTAAGAATCAGTTATTATTAAAATTTAAATAAATATTTTTTAATTTGGGTTGGTCTTTTATCAATGAGTATCAATTTGAGTTTTAATAATAACTCATTTTAAATTAATAACGATTCATTCGAGTTTGTTTTTTATTTGAGTTTTGATAATAACTTGTCCTTGATTAATATAAATTTTATATAGAAATCCTTACTTATTATTTTTTCAAAATAAAAATTTGAATAGGAGTCATAATGTGAAGAATATTACTTCCTTCTGCTTCTTCTTCTTTTTTTCCAACGAATATTACTTCCTTCAGTGCTATGTTTTAAATGATATCGGAATATTTTTGCGTTCCTTTGCTTGGCAGAGTAGAAGAATGATAAAATAGAAATGATATAATATGAATAGACCAAATTACCTCTGATTATAAAATTTTAACCATATAGGTAAGGCAAATGCGACTTTACATGCTTATTTCTTATCTGCACTGTTTTATGCCATCTATTTAACAATGGGATGATCAAACTGAAATCAAAAGGAAAAGGAATGGGCGATGGAATAAAAATCACTGAAACTGAACGCAGGTCATAATCCTTCCGTACATTGTTTTCCTTTTCCTTCTTCCTCATTCAAGCAAATCAAACATGACTTAGGGTTTTGAGTGACAGTAATCCTCTGGGCTTTGCGAAATCTGTCATACATAATGATATCCAGGACGCAGATCATGTCCCGCAGAAATGACACATTGCTCGAGCTTGTTGGTCAGAGGTTATTCTCCGGGTAGAGACCTTTTCAATTAACCCTTCAGAGACTGGATGTTATGGAATCTCAATCCACGCATCATGGGAACCTACTGGAGACTCTTCTTTGGCACCTTAGGACGGAAGCTTTTGGGAAATATAAACAAAAGAATGTTTACAATCGAGTCCCTTACGCCCGAGAGCATCGTTAATGTTGTCTGTTCTCTTGCTCATCATACCACTAAAGCCCAGGATCTCATAGGTCTATTGATCCTCAGGCCTCGCTGGCTTGTCTTGTGTAATTTCTAACCCCCTCAGTACGTATCTTTTGCCAATTGAATTCCATCTTCACTCCCAAAAAAAAATAAAATCCTTGGGGCATTAATGCATTGTCTTGTTTCTGAGCTGTGTGGTCGTATGTTTCGTGGAGAAAGCTGTGAAGGGCCCACGCTTTCGTTATCTGATGAGTCATGAGGTCAACGGAATGTTGATGCCCTCTGAAATGGTTCATTCACATGATTGGCGGAGCATCTGATGATCGGCATCGAAAGACAACGTGGACGCCGAATGAATTCTACAATTATTGCTCGCTTCTTTTCAAGGGATCAACACTCAACAGATGCCGTGGCCTTCCTTTTCAATTTACATTTGTATTATTGTCCCCTTTACCATTCATACGGACCAATTACTGGCCTTAAGCCTGTCATGTCATTGTCACCAAACTTGCGAATCTTGGTTGAAGATATGATTAACCGGTTAATTTCGCATCAGGTTTTGAGTTTTTCCCAATATATAAAATTTAACCATACCTGGTTTGAGCGATTTCTTATATTTATATTTTCAATGACAGGTTATGCAATCACCCTATCCATTTACTATTTTTTTAACAAGAGGCATGCTAGCATTGTCCGTTTCCTGATATCTTAGTTATTGTGCTCTAGATCCATGTGTTGCCAGAGTCTGAGGATATAAACACTTGAGCACAGATTTTGTTGGATATTCCCGTCCCAACAGAACAAATTCAATAATTGTACCGGGGTAACGATAACGTATGGATCACATCTTAAGTGAGTACCTATCGGATGTTGGTGGGGTTGTTCTGTTTGGACTATTGTCTGAAAAATAAAGCCTGCGTGTTGGTTTCATATGGACATGTTGTCTATTTAGGGCGTCCCCTAGAATACGTTAAACTAAATTAACCTACCCAACCCTGTGGGGAGCTAGGCTGGCAGTAGCTCAGCTTAATATAGGAGACCTCACAGGGCCTCTCTACCTCTCCCTTCTGACTGCATGCTCACTACTTATAAATTCTTGAACCTGGCTATTGAAACCACCATGACGTTTTAGCTCTGAACTACCAAGTTTTTTATCCTGACTGTCCAGTACAGGCAGGCTTTTGTTAACCTGTTGGATAAATTACTTGTGTTTAGCACAGCAAAAAGGGATGAAGGCCTCATAAATTCTAATACAATGTTTGTACATGGGTAGCTGCACGTTGAAGAACACCCACACATCCCATAAAAACTGACCTGATGGCATCATGACTAGAAAGATATTAAAAATAGAGACCTTATTTCATTTCTTATACTCTTTTAGGTGAGGTTTTCACCATCTGCATTGGCAGTAGCAGTACAGCAATTAGAAAAAGAAAAAAAAGAGAGAGAGATTGAAATGGTGAAATTACAACGAAAGAGTTTTTTCCTTCCCAAAAAGGAAAAGGTGAAGGAGATGGGAAAGGAAATTCCCTCTTCGATATTGAATGGCCTCTCCTTGGACAGGAATGCTCCAACTAGTAACAACAGCAGAGACGAAAAAAGCAGCGTTTGATTTTCATCTCCGTTCGGAATCACCTAAACAGGAGATATAAACAAACAAACTAACTAAGATGAGGCACTTGCCAGCTGTTTTATGTTCCCATGGAAAGCCTTCGCTAAAAGGCAAACAAATAAAAATGTACATGAAAGTGTATCACCTTGATCTTTTGAGGCTTGTTTGCCAGCGTTTGAGCAATCTAAGAAATTGAAGTTCGTCTGGGTAATGAAATGTGAGGGTGGGTCACAGGCATAATGTAATGAAACCTGAAACTATATCGTAAAAAAACTGGATATCGTACCTTTAATCTTGCTACGGAGAAACCTTGAGAGAGGGCCATGGCATTCTCCGCTGCTCCTTTCCCTGAGAAACTGACTTTCTTCTGTTCGATTATAAAAGACCCTCAACCAAAATATTTGTTGGTATTCTAAAATCATAACAGAAGAGCATGGAAACATTGTAGTTAAATTGCATGACTTGCCTGGGGAAAACTCTGAACAGGGGAACTGGCAGTGTCATCAAGCTGCGAAGGTTGTTGATTTCTTCGGCCACATTCTCTGACCTTCTGATTGGGTACGGAAGTAGAAGAATGACTAGAGTATTTATCAACCTCATCATGATAATGTGGAGGCCCGGAAGAAGCATCAGACACCATGGATAGACCTTCCTCCTCCTCCTCATCCTCCAGTCCTTCTCCTTTTCCCTCATATTCCACCATCCCACTTCTCCGGAAATATTTTTCCGAAAGAGAGGATTGGTCTATGTAACTGGTCCAACCGGATTCACTCGCGCTGTTGCACTGTGAAGCTGACAAATCCATTCAACCCTTCTTTTACTCTAGTAAACACCGTAAGGTGGGTTATCTCAAATTGGAATCTCAATATCAGCGATCAGGGCAAAAGAGTTTAGAGAAAGAGCTAATTTGCTCTTACTCTCTGACTCTTTGTGCTTGCTATTCTGTTCTTCGAAATATAAGTAGGAGGAGAAACAGTAAAAGAAGGAGAAACGAATAACTCATTGACAAATAAAAAGAGGCAGATACAGAGGGAGAGAAAGAGAGAAACAAACGAATTGCAATAAACTACCAAATTATTCAAGTCCTTCTGTTCAATCCTTGGGCCTTCATTTTGCTATCATTATTTGAATGGATTAATATTGCCAGTTGGCTTCGTGTGCGTGTGTATAGAGTGTATTTTTTGCGTACAGTGAGAGTAAATGAGAAAGTGGTAAGCATAGAGGTCATCAATCACCACAACCTTAACAATTGTGGCATTATCAATGCTCCCAAAGAATGATAGTGCTGTCCTTTCGAGAGAAAAAGTTATCCCTGTTTGCTAAAGTCACAACTAATGACACTTTAATTATTACCTTCAACCTTGTTTCTATTAATGTTTGGGACTAATAAATAAACTACACACACGCATCTATAAAAGGCCTGCTCCCTCTCACCTACCCTTACTTTTCTTCTGCCCACAAAAAATTTAGTGTTTGCAAATCAACTAATCCAAGTCTTCAGCAGCCAAGTCCTTTTTAGCACACCAAGAGTGGAACTAGACAGACCAATATGTCTGGTAAAGCAAAAACACTAGTGAGCCCCAAAGTGAATGCAAGCCAAATTAAAGCAAGTATGGTAAAAGCGAAAAACACTGCTGGTTACTATTTCTTAAACCTTAAATGGTCATCAGTCGTTACTATTTGTAATTTAGCTGCATATGTTCTCCTTCCTAAATTTGGATCAGTTTAAGCAGGCGCCAAACTGAATTTACAAAGTGAACCGCTGAAGCAAGATACTGGAGTACAATCAAGATATATCCCTCGTGCAATTTGTTCCTTTACTGACAAAATTCCGCTCGCCCAAAAAAGCTAAAATTCCAAATAGTACTTCCAACTCATCACGGGCAAAGTAAACTAGCTTAGGTCTTCCTTTGTCAGTGATCTTGTGCTGGGAAAATAGCATCTGATTACGAAGCTGCATAGGGTACAAGTACACCCCGTTTGGAATATAATACTATGTATGCCTGTCTAATGAGGGATTGCAAAACAAGAACAGTATAGATTAATCTGTGGGTTGAAATCGGAAACGTGGTAATATTGTGATATTAAATTATATTGCCTTGCTATATAGGTTTTGAATTAGTTTGTCAGTAGAGAGTATTTGTTCAACCCTCGCTCATACCAAAGGTGAGTGACTCTGAATTCATTTATTCTCGCCTTTTTTTTTTTAATTTTATTAATTGTGCCGAATGGCAATGAAATGCAACTATGTGTAAGGATAGTGGGCCACTATGATTTTCATAAAAGCTGGGCTGGTCCCTTCTCTTTAATAGGCTGTCTCTTTGCTATTTTCTGATACTCTATGCTCTTTGAAGCACTCGGTTTATTATTCTTAATCATATCAACCTCTATTCTGCTAGAGCAAACAAATGCTGCCCATAGGAATTCCAAGGTTCGTAGAATTGGAACTACGGAGGAATCTAACTTCAAAACTCATCTTTCTTCGCATGACACTCCTCTGCCTAATATATTGCAAATCAGTCTGGTTTGTTCAAAGGTAAAAGGAATGGAAAATTGTCAAAATACTGATATTTTCATCCAAAGAACTTTCAGAAAAGAAAAGCCATAATATATCTAATTTTAGAATAAATGCCAAGAAGGTTAAAAGGATGAGCCAATTACCTTGCAAGCATGTAGATGAGCAGTTGAAATCAGGGACGATGATCATGCAAGTTATTTCAGAGCTATATTTATTAAAAGAAAACGAAATTGAAAATGAAAGAAAAGGACATGAAAATAATAGCATGACAAAGAAGAGAACATGTCCAGGACCTTTCGAGTCGTAAGCACATAGAGTATGCATGAGCTTTTGCAGCAACACTGGAGTTTGGTAATTGCTAGGATGATCCCCTTTGGATGCCAAGGCCAAAAATTGCCAGGTGAAACAGTGGCATAGTGCATAACCACCGAAATCCGGAATTCCAGAGAACCACCCAAAAAAAAATCCTCACCTTCCTTCCTCTTTCTCAGCAAAGACAAATGATCCCGTCCATATCACAGCACATGGTTTCACTTTGTAATTGTAATGGAACTCACGCGCGGTCTTATTATTAAATTTATAATTTATAATGAACTACACTATTCTCAAGTTACCATTGGTTTTTCAAACTTCATGCATCACGTATCAAAGCATACCTAGAAAGATATCATACTATGGAGAGCTATTGGACTGGAAGATTTAGGGCTCATGAACCATGAGCTTTCTCAAGGAGTCCAGATTCAAGAGTTAACTCTAACTGAATTCACAATGACAGTGGCAATCCTGTTGTGGTCAGAAAGAGAAAATCAGACTAATGTTCAGATGCAGCCTCTGTTAGATTGCAAAATATAGTTTCAAGATTACTTGATACGAACAAGTACATGGTTTGGGGATCATACCCGTATAATGATGCAGAAAAGGATGCTAATTTAGAAGCCCCCCTCCCATCGCAATAGCATAATAGGTCCTCAGGAGCCATTTGCCGTCCAACCTTCCTCAGCTCCTCACCTCCTCCTTTCCAGTTTTCCATGTGACTGAATTTTTATGCCTTCAGGTGATACGTCTCTGTTAAACCCGCGAAATTTTATTACTTTATGTGGAAAATGAGTTGTACGTGCGCAGTTAGTTTGTTTTTTAAGTCCTATTTTTCTCCCAAAATGCGACGTAATGTGGTAGAGGCACGTTATTTAAAAACAAAAAAAAAAAAAAACTAAAGGCATTCCGGATGTGTTTGCCATCCTTATTTTTGTTGTTGCATGTTTCATAATACTTTACGTGTGATCATCAATGTCAAGATTGAGCTGAACAATAAATGCCATTATTTTAAATTTTCAATTCATTTCACTTTCTAAGATTTTAGATCCTCAATCTCGATTAGTATTCTAAAATTATTTTTTAATAAATAAAAAAGAAAAGATGGGAATAAAAAAGAAAAAAATAATAGAATGGATTTTAAAAATACGTTTCTAATATGTAAAAAAAATTAGAAAAAATTACATTTAAATCTCACAAAAAGTAATTTATTATCAAGAGATCTCATAAATTTTACAAAATATTCTCAAATATCAAATCTTGTGAATTAATAATTTAACTAAAGACACTAGCAATTAAGCAAATGGCCCTTAGTCAAATTGTCAATCCATAAAATTTGAGAGTATTTTATGAAATTTATGAGATCTTTTAGTAATAAATTTCTTTTTGTGGGATTTGAATGTAATTTTTTCAAAAAAATAAATAATATTTACTTTTTATTTGGTTTGCCTAATATGATTGGATTAGAAATGGAGCTGCGTAATATGAAAGGATAATAATGCCTATGCGAGAAATAAACAATGTTTTAGGAGGAAAAAAACCCCGGAAAAACCCTTATCTTCTTGTCAATGTAGTGCCCTAACCAAAAAACCAGATCACAGGACGCCGAAATCTACGGGAAGCAGAGGAAAATGGAGGGGAAAGGACTACCAAGTTCCATGCCGATGCTTTCAACGTCTCATGGGTCCAGTCCTGTGTCATTGTCTTCAATTTTGCCAGGTTGAAGAAGCATGGGTTCTGCAAATGGGAGCACAAGATCCAGAAGCCATAGTTAGCCACACGAAGGGAGCGATGCGAAGGTGAGAACACAAAATCATTGCCTCAAGAAGTCTGGGTTCTAGAAATGGAGCTTGGCATCCATGGGTAGTGTGCGTAGACAATGGAGATGCTGCGGAAAGATGAGAGCTATGTGAAGGGATGGGCACTCGTATGTCCAAAATTTTGCTTTAGTCATGAAGGTAAGATTAAAAAACATTATTCCTAGGAAGTTTACAAATTCCGCAGTTTAATGGAATTTTACAATTTCCAATAAGCAGCTTTCTTTCTTGCATGCCAAACAAGCGACTTGTTCCCTTTCTATTTACCATTCCATTGCCCAAATTCCATGCTTGTTGCTACCAAACAGGTTGAGACTTATGAACATGACCTCGATCGGATGCTCAGGTCTCTAAATTCTAGGCACTCTTAATGCACCATGTTGTTACTTGTTGGCAGCACTAATTTTGTTCAGGCCTAGCATTGTGATTCAACCAAAGGCAACAACTAAAGAAAGCTAATGTTTTAGCAGAGCCTTATGACATGTATGTTCAAATTATGAATTATCCGACATGACAAGAGCCGTCAAAAAGTATCAATGCAGCGATATTATTGCTCCAGTCAATTACTATGAACCCAGTACAGCATGTAAGAATGATGCAAGAGGGGGAACCTGAAGGAAGAGCATACATCAGTCAAGTCTCTCCGTCTGCGGGAGATCAACCCAGCACGACAATGTCTGCAACTGCAAGCCCCCGCCACCACCAAGACATGGAATTGTTACTGTACCATGGCAGGCCACACCTGAGAAGCCCATTTACTAAGAAAATTTATTGATTCGCATAACCAAAACCGCACCCCAATTGTCCGTATAGATATTAAACATTTACTAAGAAACTAGTAATTCACTCGTGCATCCTCTTGTAAGAATTATAATAATTTTAAATTTTTAATTCAATTTATATTACTAAGTGGGGTTATTTAGACACAATTTATATTACTAAGTGAGGTTATTTAGACACAATTATAATCATAAGTATATTTTAAAATAATTAAAAATATATGATGGTGTTACAATAATCAATGTAAATAGTTGAACTCACCTTTCTCAATTTTAACACGAGCAGCTTTAAGGCTAAATTCAAAGAAGTAATGAATAAATTTAAATCGGTAATAAATAATTGTAATATAAAATATTTTGCTTAAAATATTAAAATGTGTAAAATTTACCTTTTAATAAAGGTGCTGACCTATGATGTGTGAATGATAGTACGTGTATTGAATATGATACGTATTTGATACTTTGATACTTTCACTTTTAATAATGTAAGATACAATACATTTTCAATTTGCATACACACACATATATTTATTTATAAAAATAATAAAACCATTAAAAATATAATTTTAATTTAGTAAATATCTAAAATAGCACATATATATAGTCTTGTAAAATAATATCAATCAAAACATAATCATTACTCATATTTTTATTCTATCTATGCCTAATTATATGTTTATAAAAAACATTACAAACATAATTTTAATTTATAAAATATCCAAAACAACACTTGTACTTTTATTCTATTTATACCTAATTGTCTATCACTTGATCTCTGCTAATTGTTCCCCACCTAGGGTTTAATTGCCAAAAAATTATATTGCTACATTTTTATAATTAAAAAATATAATATTTCTCTTTTTATTATATATAAAACTTACTTTTTAAGAAAAATATAATCTTTGATTTTAAAAGTAAATCATAAAAATATATTAAGAATAACAGAGATTAATATCACAATATTTAACAAAATTTAATTTTTTAAAAATGGTCTTGAAATATTAGCTTTAAAGTACCAATTCGCAATCCAGAAGTATCAGATACATATTAAAAATAAAAAATTTTAAAAATTAAAAAAATAATATTTTAATACTCTACGAATACGTATCGAAGAAGCATTGGTGAGTATTGGTATCGAATACAATACAATATTGATACTAATGCATAATGCAATTTGGTATCGATGCTTCACAAGTGCTAACTTTATCCATGATAGGATGGATGAACAAAAGAAGCAAAAAGAGAGTTGAACTACCACGATGAATATCCATGAAAATGTTAGTTGAGTAGTTAATTGTTAACATGACAACACATCCTTGAAAACACACATCTTCTACTACTGAACAATCATGATGATAAGACAATGTGTGAAACCTCTCATACAATGAAAAACATCATCGACAAAGACTCCCCACAAAGCAACTTCAAGGTAATTTCTCCTAATTATTACTTAATTCATAAATGAGAATTATATTAATTAATAACATCTATAGAATTTAATGTAAGTATTTTACTAATTCATGTTATTATAATTCAATTTTAATTTGTCTATTTATATGATTTAATTTGCAAGAAAATCATTTAAATTATTATTCACAAAATTATTATGCCAATTCAAAATTATTCACAAAATGGTAGTATTTGAGAGGTTATATTTGAAATTATGGAAGAGAATATCAAGAATAGAGGAAATCAATTTTTGTTGATTTTCAAAATAATAATTTTATATAGAAATAGTTATTATTTATATAAATATATTTAAGATTTTTAAAATTAAAATTTTAAATTATGAATTAGTTAGAAAATTATACTTAAAAATTTGAGATCATGGGAGAGAAGTTGTATTTTTTGATTACAATCTTATAAATAAAAAAATCAAATTTACTCAAATTCATATTCCGGTCATGAGATGAATTGGTATAATTTATAGAGATTTATAGATAAAAGATGTAGGGATTGAATTAAATTACATTTTTAAAAATTAAATTATAATTTAAGAAGTTATATATATTTGAGATCATGGGAGAAAATATCAAAGATTAAAGAAAGCTGTTTTTGTTGATTTTCAAAATAATAATTTTATATAGTTTGTCCAAGTCTCTTTTTAAAAAACTTAATAAAAAAATTAAAAATGAATATAAAAACTAGATTCTATGTAGCTGCAAAAAATTACAAGAATGGAAAGAATGGACACTTGTCATCATTGTAGTTATGCTTGTTATTTTACTATTATACATATATAGATACTAAAATATTCATGATTACGGAGTTCAATTATCTTATTAAATATCTCATTGCATGAGAAGAAAACGCCAATGCAGACTTGCTTCATATGCCTATTCTAAATGGTAATAATTGTTGAAAAAAAATTTAAGAATGATATGGATTGAACACTTTAATTATACAATAACAATAATTACAAAACAGAACATTTTTTTTGTTGAAGGATTGTAAATCTAATCAACCTTTAACTTGGGTGGTAAACAAACATCAAACATGAGAACTAATCATGAGATGAGGATCAAGTTAGCCTTCATCTTAAGTTTTGAGATAGAATTTCAACTCCCTAACCTTTAAACACAGTATGACACCCTTTATATAGAACTCATAGATACCAATTAACAAATATGATTAATTGAGATAAATTTCAACTCCCTAACCTTTAAACACAGTATGACACCCTTTATATAGAACCCATAGATACCAATTAACAAATATGATTAACAATAATAACATATTTACACTTAATGTTCCAACAGTAATCATAGATGAATGTATAGCCCTTTTTGAATAAGCAGAAAGTGAGATGTGTTCTCAAGGTGGATATTTCAAAGAAAAATCACTCTGAAATACCCTACAATATAATCAAATATATTAATAAATCACAACTAATCGTAATAAAATGATGATTAAAATAGTTGTCATTTGAGGTGATCAATTATTAATACCTTGTAATATTTAATTGTATTGCAAGAATATAAAAATAATTCTCTAGTAATTCAATTTTGTTCATTTTAATCACATTCAATTCATTTTATCTCATATGTGGAGCAGCATCTGCAATTAGGGACAGATCCATAAGTTGATATACGGGGGGCCAAAAATGAAACATCACAAGAAAGTAGGGGACCAAAAATAATGTTGACATATTTTACAAAGAAAACCTAATATATTTTTAGATGAATTTAGAGCTTCATTTGTCTAAGTTTCTTTTATTTTTTATTCTCTTCTCTTTTTACTTGATAATTTGATGTCTCAATCTTGAGTTTGATAATCTTGGCTCATAAACTCTAATGTGAATTTAATCTTAATGTAAAGAGAAGAGGATTGTGTTATTTAATTGTTCCTTTTGCTGCCTTAGTAATTTTGACTACTTGGTGCTTAGCACATAATACTGTGTTTTTCATTTAGTGAATTACATGTATTGATATTGTATAGTCTTATGATGTTAATACTTGTATTATGGAGTAGCTTGACATAATTCTGTGGCTGCTCACTTCATTACTTTGGTCGTGGCATAAGAGGGGAGAATTTGAGTGATTCACTTAGCTAATTTTTACACCAATTGATTAATTGAACTAGGGATTTTAATATAAAACCTAAAAAATTTAGCTAATTAGGTTAATTAGTTTAGGATAGTTTTCTTAGGTCAAGACAGCTATAGTCAGGAGAAAAGGAAAGCTAAGTTTAGCTTAATCATAACAGGACAATGATTTCAAAGTTAACTTATCTCTAGGACTTTACAATTATTGAAAAAGAGAAGTCCACGCCATTCATTTTAACTAGTATTTTTAATAATTTTAGTTATTAATAAAGCCAAACTTACAAATACTTAAATCAAACTTGTGAATTATATAAAATTAGTTAGACTTTACTAAACAAAGAAAATTACCGATAGAAGGTTGTGATTTTATAAATTATTTTAGTCATTGGTGAACCCAAACTTAAGAATTTTTATACCAAACTTGTGAATCATATAAAATTAGTTATAAATAAATACTAAAGTAATTTTATACAAAAATTTAATTTCAAAAAACTTTCTTGAAATCTCACATTTCACGGGGTCAAAATATTATTTTTCTACAAGAAAATTATACACAGGTTTTGTGGAGTAGACAATAAGTATTGTAAAATTTAAAAACCACAACTAGGTAGGGATTAAGATATAATTTAAAATTAAAGTACAAGTATAATAATACCACTATTAAACATTTATTATATCAAGCAAATAGTTTTTAACTATAACTTAAACTTTTTACGATTGTAACTTACTATATTTAATAGTTAAATTAATCATACATTACAAATTTAATACCAATTGTATACAATTACCGTATCAGTAATTTACAACTATCATTTCGACACTTTACAATTATAATTTCACATGTTTAATAGTTAAATCAAACATGTATTACTAATAAAGTTTAACATTTATTATTTATAACTACCTCATCAATAATTTATAACCATCACATTAATATTTTACAATTATAATTTCACATATTTAATAATCAAATGATCATGCATTACTAATAAAACTTAAATGATCATGCATTACTAATAAAATTTAATGTTAATTGATGCTAATTATTTATAAACATTTTATCAGTAATTTATAATTATAATTATAATTTTTTTATAATTATAATTTTATAAATTTAATAATTAAACTGATATAATGAAATAGTTATAAAGTATTTGATTAAGTTATGTGTATTTAATAAAAATATTATTATTCATATATTCCAATTTCAAATAAAATTTAAATTTTAATAAATTTAATTGTGATTTTTAAATTTTATAAGACTTGTTTATAAATAAATTTATTTCATAATATTAATACGTGATTTTTCCTTTTTCTTTCTATCAATTTAAAAAAGATTTATCTGCCATTCGCCCTTCATTAACATTCCACACAAATTTTTAAATATCATCCCCATCCCCACCCCCTCTCTCCCATCACCGCCTTCCAGATCATTCCAGCGTACCGAAGATGGCCTGTTTGTTTCCTTTCTAGTTCGCCCCTCTTCCGATTCTCGAAGTCTGGCCGGTTGTCGCCAGCTTCACGCGGGTGCTGTTCCCCAATTTTCTTAATTTTATTTCCAGCCAGAGGGGGAAGATGGTCTTTGGGCAAATTGTAATCGGTCCTCCTGGATCCGGCAAAACAACCTACTGCAATGGCATGTCTCAGTTCCTGAAACTAATTGGAAGGTAAAGTGTTCTTTTTACGGCATCCTTTAAAGGAAACTAAATAAGTAATAAATCTTTTGATTTTCAAATGATGGTTTCTTTTGTTTCCGAGAAGATATGACAAGGATAGCGATAAGCGCCCTTTGACTGAAGCTAGCACTACCTATAGCTATTGTTAGTTTCAGTTGACAGTAATAATATATGTGGGCAATTGCATGCTCAGGACCTAAAATAGGATAAATTTGTTAGATTGTCTGGTGGAAATTTATGGTGCTGCTAATTTAGCAACTACTACAGTCCAATGGCAACTTTATTTTTAATGTGCAGGAAGGTTGCTGTAATCAATCTGGATCCTGCTAATGACTCATTGCCGTATCCTCTCCTCTTTTTCCTTCAAACCTTGTCACTCTTCTGAATGTCGTTTATATCTGCACAATTTGATTTGCATGTTTACCCTTATATAAAAGACAGCTACGAATGTGCTGTGAACATCGAGGATATTGTGAAATTAAGTGATATAATGGCGGAACATTCTCTAGGTCCTAATGGGGGTAAGCCTTCAAAAACTTCAGTTTATTTGTTATTCAGATTTTTTTTTTTGGGGGGGGACGTAAGTGGTTATGGAAAGCAATGGCTAATGGTTTTCTAATATGGGTAATGGTTCTCGCGAATGAGACCTTGAATGTGCTGGAAAAACTATCATAACCTATTCAAACCTAACCAAGAGTGTGTTCTCTAAAGTTTCCTGTGTTCTACAACCAGGCCTTGTGTATTGCATGGACTATCTAGAGAAAAATATTGACTGGTTAGAAGCTAAGTTGGAACCCCTTCTGAAAGGTTCGTGCAATATGCCTTGATTACTAGATTTATTTGCTTTATAGACAGCCAGCAATTCTAGCAATGTCTTGAGCAGACCAAGTATTACTTTTCTCTTGTTCTTACAATGGATTGATCATTTCAGATCACTATCTACTGTTTGATTTTCCTGGCCAAGTTGAGCTATTCTTTCTTCATTCAAATGCCAAGGAGGTTATCATGAAACTTATTAAAAAATTGAACCTAAGGGTATACTTCTGATCTCTACATATTGGTTTTTGTGAGATTGTTTATTTTATTAATCCTTTTTTGGCCAGATTATTAATAGTTATTTGCTTGCTCATTTTATGCAGTTGACTGCAGTGCATTTGGTTGATGCTCATCTTTGCAGTGACCCTGGAAAGTATATTAGTGCATTGCTTCTATCTTTATCAACGATGCTACATCTAGAACTCCCTCATATTAATGTCTTGTCAAAAATTGATTTAATTGAGAGCTATGGAAGGCTAGGTGTGCTGCTACTTACTTTTAGGTCCTAGAGGTGCAATGTGTGTTACTCTTAGTGCTGGTGGGTGACAGAGATCCATTCTAACCATTATATTTTGATGGTGCAGCATTTAACCTTGATTTCTACACAGATGTGCAAGACTTGTCATATTTACAGCGCCATCTTGATCAGGATCCTCGTGCTGCTAAGTACAGGTTTGATGTCTGGAAAAAATTTGCTGTCCTCAATCATGTGGAGAAACCCTGTTGTGCTTTGTTTTAAATAGCATTGAATATGTTTTCTGGTCACAACTTCCTTATTTATGATGTAGCAATTTCTTATTTTATTTTTTTATTCTTGTTTACTTTGGATATTGAACTTGATAATGTTTTTGTTGTATTGATTTGTCGTTGATTAATTCTATGCACCATGGAGGTGGGAACACATGGATATTGAGTGATGCTAATACAGGAAATGGCATCTTTGAACATATTAGGTGACTACGCTTGTAATTTTATATGCTACAATTTCTTGGTGTGTGGGCTTTGCCCTTGGTTGTAGGAGGTCAAAATGAGAAGTGTTCTTTGGGAGAGTGATAGGTGCTTAAAATAATAAAATAAGAACAACTCTATTAGGATGATATAGAACGAGAATCTTGTTCTATATTTTCCTTAATAGCCACGTTCAGGAGAATCTTCAAAGAGTTTGAAAGACTATTTTATTGATAAAGCGATATGCTAGCTTCTAAGTTGCTAGTCATATTTATAATGCTAAATACAATTTAAAATAATGAATAAAATCTAGATAACTAGATAACTAAATAATATCTTTTATAATCTAAAATACTGAATAAAATCTAAATAGATAAAATACTAGATCTAAATAAAATCTAAAGAATAAAATCTGACTAAATAAAATACTAAATCTAAAGAAACATCTAAAAATAAAATAATGAATAAAATATATAATGAAATCAATCCGAATTTACTTTTGACGCTTCCTTCTTGAATGAGTCTTCATGGGAATATTATTTGGAATCTTATCAGGGAGTAAAGGCAATAAATAGTAATCTGCAAGAACAGAATAGGATTGAAGTTCCTCACAAGATTTTTGACCGTGCCAAATTATGTGATTGTGTATCTTCTAGATTTCATAATTTTGAAAATGTTAACCTGAACCAATGTGAGCCAGTGTAAAAGAGGTGCATTACGAGTTGGATTAAATTTGTTGTCCATTTATATTATGATTATGAACACTTGGTCACATCTTTGGATGAGAAGGGGCTGTCGTTTTGGATTAGAATATTATGGTTATGAACACATGGCCACACCTATGTGAAACAAACTGATAAGCTTTTGGTTTTATTGTCTTCTCTTAAGGTCTCAGGTGATTATTTTCTTATGCTTTCATTTACAGCCATAAAATAAGCATTTGCTTTTCTGAGTTGTGTGCCAATACCCTGATGTTATATATCTGTGCAGAAAATTAACGAAGGAATTATGTGAAGTTGTAGAAGACTTTGGTCTTGTAAACTTCACAACCTTAGATATTCAGGTACCCCGAATCTATAATCTGGTCTTTGATGAGTTTGTGTCAAAATTTTAGAATTCGGTTATATGTCAGTATCTCCTTTTCAGGACAAAGAAAGTGTTGGGAATTTAGTGAAGCTGATAGACAAAAGCAATGGGTACATATTTGCTGGCATAGAAGCTAGTGCAGTTGAATTCAGCAAAATTGCTGTTGGCCCTGTTGATTGGGATTATTATAGATATCCTTGGATTGTGGCATGACAGAATTACCTTTGTTCTGCACGCTGATTGTATGGGAAGAATTATGCTTTTCTGCTATATACTGTTTTAAAATAAAATGAAACCTGCGGTTGGGTAGCCAGAATGATCATGATGACGAGGTAATTGTACATAATCATATTTGTGCAAAACTGAAATCTGAGATGATATGTTGAATATACTTGTGCTATTTTAGAATACTTTTAGCTTGTTCTCCGGTTAATATCCATGTCTCAAATTCACTGCATACTTGCACTTCACCGCCTCTCCCAATGAAAGCGTTATTTGGAGAATTCAGTTCATAGTTTCCCCTTAACTCAACTATCCACAGTTGCAGCAGTGCAAGAAAAGTACATGAAGTATGATGAAAACATTGATTACGATGATTGATGGGGGAAGTTGAGAAACATTTTGGGAGGAGAATGACACCCAAGTGAGTCTGTTGCTTTGCTTCAATCCTTTTGCTGTTTAGGGTTTGTGGGGATCGTCAAATAATTGTTGGACTCAACCAATTGGATCTTGACTCCCTTTGCAGGTGTTAGAGGCTCTTGTGAATTCAGTCAAAGCGCCAGAGCTGACATTTACTTTCATAGAATTACCCGGAACAGGCCAACAGCAAGTGGCAGCTAAATTTGTGGATGGGAATCTTGTTCTTCAAATGAGATTGTTATGTTTGTGTAAAATGGATTTCGAAAAAGTTTACCTATTTATCGGTGCTAAGTAATTGTGGAATGTCAGAATTTGAACAATGTTGGATACACTGTGGGGTCCCGGCATTTAACAGTAATGTCATGTTCGCGACATCCATCCATCAAGCCGAAACAGTCCCCATGCTCAGATTGAAAGAAAGTCGGTGGCTGGAACAAAATTTACAGGAGCGACATCTGGAAGAAGCTGCTGCTACAAAATTTTCAAGATTTTTAAATGGACTTGAACGACGGAACAAAGTGCGGCATGGTTGTTGGGCCTTGAATCTTGTTAATTTCTCTTTTCCTTTTCAATTGTCAGATTATTATATAAGAAAGTAAGGCGTCTCGCAAACTTGAAAAGGGGCTGGTACAAGATATCCCAGCGTTGTTTTAAGGTTCTCCAGTGAAATGTTGAGAATGTTTTTAGAAGATTCAATGATGTTCCAATATTTATCTATATATAAGAACTCGTCAACTTTTTATTAAGAACCATAATATCAAAAACCAATAGACTACAGACGACGTTGTGGGCGTCACATTGCGGCACGAAGATTGAAGAGAAGTGTCCTATTACAGATAAATAACGTGCTTGGAATTTCTGGGATTTAAAACTCAAACAAGCTGATGTTTTTATTTTTCATGACATCATGGCTGCCGTAATCAGGACGCAGATTGCTTGAAATTTTCTCGGGGTAAACTGACATTAAGTTTCCTCGTGGTCATTTAAAAAGAGAGAGAGAGAGAGAGAGAGAGAGATGATAGAAACATTCATATTGGCTCATCAGCGGAGGTCAATAGGCGAAAATATAACACATACAAGTTCACCTCACCATGATAAAAACATAATTTTCATCTCGCGAGCGAAGGCATAAAAAGTGATTTTTTTTAAGAATTATTCAAGTACTTGGCCTTATATGTCTGATATTATTTTTCTGAAGTTAATTTTCAAAAAAAGTAAAATCATTATTTTTTTTTCCTATCAAAATGATTATCATTATCATTATTATTTTGGTGGTGTTGCATCTTGCATGTGCCGGCTGGCAAAGCTACAATGTGGATTAGCGGAAAATATGGAGTTCGACGGAAAAGTAATTAAAGTACTTATTTGGTTGCGGGCATTGAAAAATTAGAAATCATTTTCCAGTCAACGCCAGCGAATAGAGTGTAGTTAAGTCCCCCTATATCTTTTATATCACTCAGCCGCCATGTGCTGAAAATCTAAGCTTATATAATTACCTATCTCTCTTCTATAAATAGGTCATGGCGTCATGCAACTAGAACGGCCTACTGCGGAATGTCAGGATCAAAGTCTTTAATTAATTATTAATTAAAATTTTAAAATCTGAAAATTTTAAAATAATTTTAGGAAAAACACGAATAAATTCCTGTAAAAAATTACAATTTGATCCTTTAAAATATGCTAATGTCTCTTAAATTTTAAGAGACTTAATTGTCATTGATTTTTTTATAAAATGATAAAAATATCCCTTAATTTAAAAAAAGTTCAAGTATTAAAAGATTTTAATCAACAGGTTAATTTGGATTGAAAATCTATTGATGAAATCAGTATCTTTCACATCCATCATATGAAAAATTCTCTGATATTTTAAATTTTTTTCAAGTAAAATCCTAAATTTTTACTATTAAATAAATAAATATTATTCACAATAAAATTAAATCAGAGTTATAAAATATACGAAAGTATAAGATATCAATCGTTTATAAAATATTAAAAAAAGAGGACAAAAAATGTCATTTGAGTCATTCAATGTGGCCAACAATGCATTTGCCGTTGTCAACCATAGTAAGATTTATTTGGTCAATATAACTGTTAACATTCTACATGTAAATAATATGGTAAATTGCTCTGAATTTTAAAGTTTAAAATTTAAAATATTACTCACACAATAGTTGAGAGTCCATAGTGCTCATTAACAAATGACACATTAGTAAAGGATTGTTACATTAACATTTGATTGGGCCTCACAAAATTAATAGTAACAAAATTATCTATAAGTTAATGACAAGGGTAATTTATTTTGGATTTAAAAATTTAAAATTTATTTTATAAATTTTAAAATTTCAGAGTTTAAGCACTTTTTGCATAATATTTTAAAATTTAGACTCATCAACCCTTGATAGAAATTTGTTTGTCATTCTTCCATTATCTTATTATCCTTCTTATTTAGTCTGAAATTTTTAATTTCCTCGCGGAATTGTCAAAATAAACTTTGGCAAACCCGTTTTCCGCGCAGATGATTGAAATCTGAACGATATCTATTGTAAAAGCAGCACTCTGAAAAGAATGTATATGCGCAGACACACGTATATATGTTGCAGATGTTATTGTGTATGTTCAGATTATTCCGATCTGATATACAATTTTTTTTTTCAGGCCTGTATTGACTAAGCATGATTTGAAAATACAAAAAATATTAAATAATCTGATTTCAAACAAATTTTAAGGATAACAAAGAATTCATTTTCCCTGATATGGACATATATTCTCATTTTTTTTGTCAATATAGGCATTTACTCTTTTGATCTTATTTTTAAGACAGAGAAAAGATTAATTTTAATTTTATTTATAAAACATTTTACTATTTTTTATATTTTTTACTTTTCTATTCTTATTAAGTGTCGGAAAAGTTTATTAAAAATAATTTTTTTATCCTGATTAGGGGTATAAAATTGAAAACTTATTTAATTTTAACACAAAATTAATAATATTTAAGTTTTTTTATTTTGATAAAATATATTATAAATGACTTATAAAAAGGATAGGATGAAATATTATTTATACAAAAGAACTTATTTTTTAACACTACTTTCGTTCTATGAAATTTTCTTAAAAATTTATTTTGTATGACTAAACCTAAAAGTAAAATGAAACCTACATTTTTTGTAATATATTAAACACAATCATTTTATCACATTATCATAATTGTTTCCTTTTCGTTTTTGCATACGTGATCTTTTCTCTGTTTTTTTCCCCCAAGCACCCCATCTATTAATCTGACATTAAAGGGCATTTGGTGGTCAAGCAACCGGCGATATGTATTTCCACCTGCTTCTAGAAGGTATTGACAATAGATCTCCTGGATAAATAGACTACAGCACTATTTTGGAATTTTTAAGATCAATGAATGATAGACATGGACTTGGCCAAGGCCATTCTCAACAAGTAACAGGTTGAATTTTTTTCCCATTTTCTGAGGCACTGTTTGCTTCCTCCTCTCCACGAAATCGAAAGCGGAAACTTCTATAGGATTGAAGCTCTTCTTCAAATTCCAGGTTTCAAATTCAATATTCTCCGTGGACTTTGAATAACGCTCCTTCTAAGTCTTCCCTCCTCTGTAGTAAATAATATTAATCATATATACCTTCCAAAGAAGATATACCCAAAACATATACATTGCTCTCCAAAACCACCTGTACTTCCTAGTTCCTTCCACATGTTGAATCATTTGGTGTGCGGCTCCTATCATCACGAAGAAGAAGATGAAGCTTGTGTGGATAGTCCAAGAAAATCCAGAAAGAGCAGGAATAAAAACCCGTATTCCACGCGAGGCTTAGACCAGTTTTCTGCACTCTTAGCTGATCTCGACAGGAAAAGGCAGGAGATTTACTCCAAGGCCAGGCCGCAGGACATCTCTTTTATTCGATTCGTGTCCTCCAATTCCAGCTCTAATGATTTCGTCCCGATTGTTGTCAAAGCGAAAAACAAGGACCAGAAGCACAAGAGTGAAGAACTCAAGGGACGACATGCTGTCACGTCTAACTCACTGCAAGTACCGAACGAGTCTGCTTCCGTGGAAGAGCGAAAGCAATCCAAGTTGGGATCTGATGAAAAGGCAGAGAAGAAGAATTTCTGTTGGAATATGTGGGGGCGCCCTTCTTTCTGTCTGCCGCTGATGTTGATTATAATTTTGGGGCTCTTGGCAGTGTTTGGGCGATCAGTTGCAACTATCTGCACCTGTATTTTGTGGTACACAGCCACCACCGTGAAGGACAGCCCATCATCAAGAAAGTCGAAGAAGAAGAAACATTATAAACGAGGCTTGAGTGAGAAGTCTGGGACTTCGGAGGACAAGTCTGCCAGAACATTTGGCCGTCAGAAAAGCTGGTGAATTCAGTTGATCTCCTTTTTTGCCTTCTTTTTCCCATCACGAGGTAGGATTTTGTTTTACGTTTTCTTGGTGCCGGGTTTTGAAGGCGGGGTTGAAAATTCAATCTATGCCTTTGCCATTTGTAAATTGTGGAATTGACTGTCAAGGTAGAGTTAGATCCAGATGGTTATCAATGTCAGCCTATGGTTATTTTGTAAGAATCTTGAAAATCAAGTAGTCGCCTGCTTCAAGTAAGTCATGAGCTTCATCTCACCTACAAAATCATTGGTTGTGCAGTCAAATCTGATACGGTGAACTATTTTCAAAGGATGGCCGGGCAGGTAAGCCAATGAGAAAAGGGTAAATGTGGTGGCTCATTAATTGGCTCTATGCCTGCCACACTCAATTTGCTTTTGAGAGGACATGGGTTATAACTAATAAAATGAATATATTAAATATGGTTTTTAATCATTGTTACTCATTTAAATGTGTATTTGCCACTAATCAATTGGCCTATATTATATTAGGCATCCTTCCAAACTCTGCCATCAACCAACGAATTAAATGTGCCGTTTTATTGGGTAAAATTTCCAGTGTTGTTGGCACATGAATATAAAAAAAATCCAATCTTACTCACATTTCAAATGCACTCTCATCATCCAACTCCTTCCCAACTGAATAATTTTGATTAGGCCTAGCCAAATCTGTGTAATTTCATATGGATCAGCTGTCATCCTACACAAACCTATAAAATTCACGACCAATGCTGGCAATGCAACATCAGAATAAGGACAAGATAGATATCCATAGGAACAAAAGGTGAAAATATCATCTACTTCACATCTGAATTGCTAGACTTTCATGCAATCAGCGTCATGGATTTTAGCCAACCCGGGGGAAAATGCTTAAAACCTTGGCACAATACAATGCACCGAGTAAAACCGCGTCCTTGACTTAGACCCAAAGAGCCCAAAGTCTCTCTCCCAAAGAAAGTGGCTGCAGTCCATATACCACAACAATCCAAATTCTAATCTTTGGTAGCTCAGTCCACGATTAAAATGAATATTCCTTATTCCTGCATATCACATAAAGCGTTTGTGGTCAAATGATGGAAGACTTGTAAACTATCACCGATTTTACAGTAATCTAACCTTAAACCTCCTAGGGCGCATAGTCTCTGGACTGTGGCGGGAGCTGTAGGAGTGGCGCCTGGGAGCTTCACTCCTGTTATCTTTCTCCTGTATCTGATTCCTTGAACTCCGAAAAGGCGCATCTTTCTCCCAACTAACTTCATAATCAGCCTTTAAACGTGACCCTTGCTGTTCATTAACAGCCCATAAATCATCACTATTTAGCAAAGTACCCCAAGCTTCCATTTTAGTAAAGTATTCTCCATCTCAAATGCTTTCTTATTCTAGTTTCTGTTATTGTTGACAACATTGTTTTTTTTTTTTTCCCTTATGAGTGTCAGCACGATCAATTGTACTGGCCATCTGTGTAAATGATCCACTGATACATTATGACTTGAATTGAAGCAGAGCAGAATACCATATGAACATGTGATATTAAGTTTTGAAGCCAAGTAATAAATTGGTTATCTGTGTGATTCACAATAAATGAAGAAAAGGGAAACTAAAAATGTGCAGAAAACAGGCTAATACGGTGATACCTTTTGTAAGGAGCGACCACACAATAGTCTCAATGCATCGTAGAAGTCTCTGTATTTCTCAAACTGAACCACGATCTTGCAATAAAGGCCTGAAATTAGGCCTTCACTTTCTTCGCCTGCATCCTTACCTAGATCATCGTCCTCAGCAACAGTAAGATTCCTATTGCATTCAAGTTATAGATCAAACGAAGGATTTACAATTTGGAGATAAATAACAGTGCAGACAATAATTGAGCTACAGATAAAAATATCACATTTCACAAAGCAACTCAGGTTTTCTATGAACCGCCAAATTTTTTGGGTTATAGTCATGTAAAACTGGTCTGGCAAAGGAACTGCAGATTTTGAAGGTTCACAACACCCATCAGTAGCTTTCAGGCTTTTTCTAGTTCTTTGTCTTCCACAAGTGGTTCTTTATTACTTCTTTTTCTGCTGGGGGCATGCTTAGGATCTCAAAGGGACAAGCAAGGACAAAACTAAGGGATTACATGATACATCCAAAGACCTTTGGTCCCTCAAGGAGGCTATCGAAAACACAAGGGAAACTATCAACCGAAGATGAGATTCAAAACACTGCGCATATAGATGCAAAAGATCCCTTCAACCAGCTGGAACCCCCCCCCCCCAAGCCTTCCCCTTGTTTCCTTCTTACAATAAGTCAAATAAAATAAAGGCCTCGAAGCATAATATTCAATCCACTCTTCATCATGCTAAAATATAGATTGCCTATGCTCCAGTTAATTAATTAATCCTTATCACGCCAATTAATTGCTGCCATTCTACACACCATGCATATGGCGACAAAAAGATGGCAGTGGGAGAGAAAGTGACAGAGCGGGAGCCGCCGACCAACCCCAGGATGAAGATGAACGTCGACAGTGCATGCTCAACCACAACACAAAAGCGAGGACTGTTACGAGACTCAGACAACGACGTTATAAAGAACATCATGCACAGAAACTGGGAGCTCCGAATTGCTCACATATCCAGCACAGTAAAGAGTGCAGCGGACCACCTTGCACATCAAGCGTCATCTGCTTGGCCAGGCTTTCATAATAAGTTCACCCCTAGACTTTTTCCTCCAGAGGCATCAACCATTCTAAACTTTTTTTTTAGAATATTTTTGCTCCAAAAGTTTAAAAAAAAAAAAGCATCTTTACTTTACCGTTAAAAATCATAACCATTAACTGTTAAATTAAAGTTTAACTAAGGATATTTTTGTATTTTTTTCTTCCTTCCTTAAGTGTTTAATCCATGATTTCATTCTCCTGTAAATTCTTTAACCTTTTTTTTGTCCAACTAATGAAAACAAAGATAAAAAAATGCATAAATAAAGGAGGGAAAAATCATAAAATATCTTAATAAAACTTTAGTTAACGGTAAACATTTATGATTTCTAACAATGAAATAAAAATGCTCCTCTTTTTTTTAACTTTTGAGGCAAAAATAAACTAAAAGGAAAGTTTAAAATGTCAGGCCCTGAGAAAAAAGTTTTTGAACATTTTTGTCATTTAACCCATAAAAAATTGTTGGCTGACTAAGTAGCCAGAGTACCATTACAATCCAAACCCTTGGCTCAGAACTTCCGATCAATTTTTAAAATTTATTAATCTCCTTCAGGCTTCAGTTCCTTCAGACTCTATCACGTTCTCTGTTTCTATTTTATTTTTAGGGTAGCGTAGAAGCATTTAAGTCAAACTAAAACTCAATTACGTCTCCAGAATGCTGAATTATTGCATTAAATCACCTTTGAAACTTTATAGTTTATAGTGCAAGAAAATATTAATCCTCGGACCGCTGGAAACTAACCTTATTTTGCCAAATGCCGAGAAGATGGTGTGAGTAACGAGCATAGAAGGCTTAGACGAAACCCTCGGCTCCGAGAACCACCGCGATGGCAGACCTCGAAGAGTAATTGTATCCGGTTCTTGCCTCCCTCTGGAATACCCTGCCAAAGTTCAATCCTTTAAAACACAAATTTCATTTCTTTTCCCTCGAAAGCACATTTTAACTGAGTCGGAAACACAGACCTCGATTGCCAAATGCATAAAACTCTTCCCACAATTTTTTCATGGCCTCAAAATCATCTGAAGCCGGAACAGATACAGAAAGCCTGAACTTAACCCCTTCCAGGTTCAACTCGATGCCTTCCATCTTCTCAACAAGATACTTTCTCCATTCGAAGAATTTCTTGTCCAAATCCTTCACGTCCTCTTCCTCAGTATCCTTTCGACTGCTATCGTCAAGAAACCCTAAGTCCCAGATGTGAAGTGTTCCGGTAGCAACTGGATCATCGCGCTTGCGCTTCTTAAGGTCTCTGAGGCGTTTGATGTTGAGATCTTCTTCGGGAACAGTAATGGGTGTAGAAAGCGAGGACTTGAGAAAGTCAACTAGAGCTCGCTTGATCTTCCACTCGTCGATGGGTTTGGTGACAGTGAAGCCAGAGGGATAGATAGTGAGATTGAGCTTTATGCGCGGTACAAGAGCGAGACCATTCTCAATGTCTAACGCTGTTGTAGGACGCACCAAGTTTAACGGTTGGATGCTCATATCTGTCTCCCGCCTTCCGTTCTCGCTCCGCTGGGCGATTTTAGCAAACTTGAGATTGAAACTCGAAAGACTGGCTGTACATAATCCCGAATTCGCCACGCTGCTAGCTAAAGGCAGTGGGTAGCGAGGAAGCGAAAACGGCGTCGCATGACCCAAACGACGTCGTAGGGAGGTATATTCGAGGGGAGTTAGTTGTGTTGAGGGGGTTGAGAAGTGGCGTTTAGGGGATAAGAAGATCGTACGCACGTAACAAACAGAGGTAACGCGGAATGAATATAGAAAAGGAGAAACAGAAAACAAGGGGAAGCAAAACTGAAAATGGGAAGGAAAAAAAATAAAAAGAAAGGAAAGGACAGATTTGCAAGGGAAGGCAAGGCGACAAAGAGAAGAGAGAGAGAGGCGAAGGAGGGAGACAGACAGGAACATGGGGCTGTGCTTTGGTTGCTTCAGCGGAGGCAACAAGCGTATGACAAAGGAGGAGGAGAGATTGGCCTCTGAAGAAGCACGCGCTAGAGCTGCTGAAGCCGCCCAGAAAAGGCATTTCCATTTATCTCTCCTTCGTTCTCTTCTTTCCTTTTCCCTTTTCCCCTTCATGTTCATGTCTTGTGCCTTTTATAATGTGCAATATGCATTCAATTCATGTGACTGTGTTATGGTTTTCGGTTTCATTGGAAACTCACATTCCCTCGTCGGAATCTTGCTTTTCTCCTCATAAATATGCTTTCAATCGATAACTATATATACGAAAATTGATAACCCGCCTTGCGGGACTTATGTACCTCTTTTTCCAAATGTTTTATATCAAGATGATCACATCATTCGCCTCTTTTTCCAAATGTTCCGAACGTTTCTAGCTTTAATCCCTGTGTAGCTATTAATTCAATTTCTTTTGGTGGTTGAGCTGAGGGTTTATGTCTTGCATGCATTACAGATTTACAGTTCCAGTGGTTTATTGTTTTGCTTCTAAAGTTCATCTCTGCTTTCATGTTAATATAATACCATGTGCTAATATCTCCATATGGTTGTGTTCTGTTCTGGATTTTACCGGCGAAAGGCATCAAAGATGTCTTCTTTTATGGTACTTGAGGGCTTATTGTGACCTAAATTAATTATTTTTGTTTTGACCACCCGCGTGTATCATGCATATGAATGTTGTCGTGTTTGACAAGATCCATCCCATTGGAATTATTGAAATGAAACGGGATAAAATTTATGTTATAATAATGCTTTTATGATTTCAGGCAAGAAAACAGTGAAGATTCTCTGGCAGGACGAGCTGCACAGCAACAAGGAACAGGAAAACCTGAAAACTCCAATAAATAGAGGTCTGGTGAATCAAGGTTCCACTTGTTTATTGCCCAGTATTTAATTGATACTCTGTCGTAAGACCCAAATCCAGAAGAATTCAATGATTTTTTTCTCTTTTGCTTTCTGTCTTTCTTTTTTGGTGTCCAGAGAGGAATTCAACCCTTCCCAGTTAAGAGTTGATACTTTAACAGCATTTTTGAAATTTTACCTTTTTACACAGTTAACTGCTGCTTCGTTACCCACGTATTTTCTTGTTAACACATTTCGAACCCTTCGTTTGTGGATTCAGTGCAGATGGGTTGAGGTTGGACAACTTGTCTGTTGGAGTCAACTGTTAATTGCGTGTAAGGTGAATGTCCTATCATAAATCAGGCGGTCAATTATTTTGGTCATGCATTTTCTAATCAGTTTTCTAGACTATTGTCAGATTTTATCATTGGCATCCTTCATTCCAAGACAATTACGTCGACTAATACATTAGAAGATTAAAAAAAAAAAGCTGCACTCATCTATTGGAGATTAGATTAGATTATTTAAAGGCATTCGACATTTATAGCTTGGATTGTTTTTGATCTTGTAAAAGGCTTGTGCAAAAAATTTTCGGGCCAAATTGAGGAGAAGGATGAAGGAACCTAGCAAACCTGCCTGTTGAAGCCAGGGCTTATCTGGCGTTTCTTCCTCCTTGAAATGGGCCCTTTTCATGAGAGCCAAGAAATTATAGTAGCAGCAATGAACAAGGAAATCATGAGATTACATCTTATTAACGTAGAAATAAGACCAAGTTATGATTTCAGCCGTTTTCTGCACATTGAACAGAATGAGAACATTTCACTTACAGTTTCTTCTCTCTTTTTTTGGTGTTGCAGTATAAATATAGGTCGAGTTATAGTCCCTGAGCTGCCATCTTCCCTTGTTCCAAGGATGAGCAAATGGTCTTCATCGCTCTTGCCTCATCAGTCAAATTTCTTCTTGTCCAGACCAAGATTGTTTTTGTTTGTTTGAAAAGAATTGGTGGTGGAAAGGAAACAACGATCATTTCAGGATTTAGTCTGGTGTTCTTCTGTTTCTTTTTTCTCTCCTGTTACTTCAGCTTCATCTTTGTTTTCTTTGATTGGAATTAACATATATGAAAATTCCATTATTGCGAAGAAAGGCTCCAATCAAATGGCATATCTTCAATTGTTTAACACTATGGATGCCAAACTTCTATATCCTCGTTAATTGAACTTGTAAATGTGATGGAAATGTCATAGGAACAGAATGAAGTAGTAATTCTATAGATATTACTTCCAGCTATACAGTTAATGACCAAGCAACCAATGGCAATAGCGGGAGGAGCATGTGGCTGAATACGTTTAGTTTTTGCTCGTAAAATTTCTATCACGCTCTAGTTTCAGCTCACATTCCCTCGACTGAAAAAAATACTTCTTTGCCTGTCTCAATTGCTCAAGATTCCTCACTGGAGCTAAAGGCTTAAACTCAGAAGCAGCTTGAAATAAATCAGCTACTCGACGTGATAAGCCATCCCTTTTTTAAACCAATCCAAGGTTGAACCATGAAAAATTGTTTGTGGATTCTAACTGCCATTCATTGGAAAGTTTCTTGAAACGGGATGTGTCGCATACGATGTTTCCGCAGTGAAGGGCTTCATTCAGTTCTGCTGCATTACGACAAAGGGCAAGAACGAACTGCCAATAATTCAACGCCGCACCAATTGGGAGCGTACCACCAATTGGGAGTGCAAATGTAAGATGATCCATTATTTCAGCATCCTAGTTCCCACTCTTATCTCCTCGACTGCTAACTTTCTCAAGAGGATCGGTACCAAAGTTTCTTCAGTGTTATTAGGCAAGGGTGTTGTTTACAACCTAGGAGGACGGCTAACTTGAACACCACCGTAGAGTAGAGTGGCAGTTAAATTTTTTTGTGGGACAGCTAACCTTCGTGGCTCCAAGTTCCACGGCTTGACCAGCGCATGCCAGGCTAGTATCTGATAACAGCCTCGTCAAGAAAGCAATTCATAGAATGGAAAGCGATTTTTTACTTTTTGGCCAGAAGAACACCTGCCGAGAATTGATCGTAAAATTTTGTAAATCTACTCACTAACATGCTGGATACCAAATTAAAAACTCCAGAATAGTATAATATGAATACCAAATAATTGAGGAAAAATTATATCTAAATCCTACAAAAGAGAATTTATTACTAAGAGATCTCATAAAATTCACAAAATATTCTCAAGATTCAAATCTTACACCTTTACAATTTAGATAAAAGCATTTACAACTTATAAAGAAAAATGACAATTTGTAATCAAATTGTAAATACTCATTACGTAATTGTAAATTATATAAATACACAGGATTTAGAACTTTAAAATATTTTGTAAATTTTATAAAATCTTTTAGTAATAAATTCTTTTCTGTGAAACCTTAATGTAATTTTTCCAATAATTAATCATACTCTATTTAAAGACCGTTGTCCGTAAAAGTTCTGCTTCATTGACTCACAATTCACACAAGTGATATTAGAACCTCTAGCAACCCACCGATAGGTGTAGAAATGAATGGAACTTCTCTTTTGTTTCTCTCTACAATTTTGAACTTGGCCTTGTAATTCAAAAGAAAAAAAATCTACACGTTGAGAATTCTCAACTTTGGCTCAAATTTCCTACCCGTTGTCATTGCTTGTTTGGAACAAGTTTGCTTATCAAGTTAACAACGATATATCAATAAATCCCAGCTATAATTAACATATGGCTATTTAGACACTTTCCGGTTGAATGCAACGCCTAAGATTCATAAAGCTCGCAGGCCATTAAAATGGAAAATATTGATAAACCTCACAGCAACTTAAAACCAATCATTTCGGCATGGCACTTTGATTATCAAAAAGCTAACCTTTTTCGTTTCAAGATTTTTTCCCTTGGGAAAAATTCAGCTTCAAGTTTTAAAAATATTCTGATTACAGCAGCTATATTAGTTCGCACAAAACAGATATTTCCCATTCTATCGTTCAGAAAATAGCAGGGTCCACGCTCGAGCCCCGGAGCTTATATCTCCAGAGCTACAGAGGTTATACTTGCAATCACAAGATAATCTTGTGGAAATGGCAAAATAGACTCAAAATAATTCTCTTGGGCGCTACGACCTTGTTTATAAAGCCGCGCAATAACAAGCAAACGAATATCATTGCAAAACTAAAAGCAAATTCAATCAGATTCGTTGTGTCTTGATTTTAAGAAGGGGGAAAAACCCAAGGTAAATATGTAGTAATTTTTGGGGCAATCTACAAGTAACGTCATCAAATCTGATCCAATCCCAGTAAATTATTGACATTACAATCAAAAAGTTCACGCCTCCTCTTCAACTGCATTGGCTGCGTAGTGACCAAAGTTCCTGCCCTGTCATACCAGAATGCCCAAAAGAATTAGAAAAAGAAAACCCTACTAAAGATCAAGACAATGTATATGAAAGTAGCCCCCATTATCGAAGAAGATTGCGTGGATAGCACACGAGGCAATTAAAACCAGTATGTGTCAACAAAACCATGTCCGGAAACAAAAAGTAAACCATGATAACTACTGTCTTGGATCGTCTGATAAATCCCCATAGAGAATTTGAAAAATTGCCTGTGAATTCGAGTAATTAAGTGCAGCATTTATAAGCGGAATGAAGCACAGGAACGATCAAAGACTTTTCCCACTTTATTAGCGGAACAATTTCGAATTCGAGTAATTAAGTGCAGCATTTATCACCAAGTATCACAATAAGGTAAATAGTGGAAGTTCTTTATAGGGAAGGATATTAACCTCAGATAACAACCGCTGCTTGTTAAGTAATTGGGTCCTTGCCTTGTTCAGAACTGAATTCGGAGACTTGAACATTCTCTGCAAGAAAGAAAGATGCATACCAGAGGGTGACAACAAGCAATTTTCAAAGAGTAAGGAAAACTAAAAACATAATAGTTGTGGCTAAGTACAGCCAAATTGCCGAGAACTTGCCTTTTCACCAACAGACATCCGATGTTCATTGTCAACCAGATTTCTTCTCTTTGGTGTGAAGTCAAAAACATCATGAAGGAACTTGTTTTCCTATGTTGCAAGGGGAGAAGAGGAAAAGTATAAGAAAATAATAACTACTTCGTTTAAATATTAAACTTTCCAGAAACCAAAAAAGCTTTCTAAAGAATAGTCATAGAATGACAACCTGCAAGTGCTTAATGAACCCTCCCCCTAAGAAGTGCTTGAAAAAGTTTAACTGCAAAGTTCCAATTATTAGAACACTAATACAGAAGGAAAAACAGAGCGACTTAGGAAATACTGAAGAACACAAGAAAAACCTGTATCATTTGAGACCATGATGATGTCTGCAGTGAATCACTGCCAATCTTTGTTGTAATTTCACGAGAGTAACCATACTAATATAGTATCAAAAAGTAAATCAGCACAAAACCTTAAGTACACAATAACAAATAATATTTTCAGATCATAACAGTAAAAGGCAAAACTAAAGTACCTCAAAAAAATCTGAGATATCTCGAAACAAGTCCCTCTGAGTGTTAAGATCTTTTTTAGCAGAACCTTTTCCACCAGCCTCCACAGCAAGGTTTTTAACTTGATTGATGACCTTCCCCTTTAAGCCATGGATATGCACATAACTTTCTTGCCGTTTGCTCTCTTCTTGAGTAGTCTCACTTGCACTGTTAGGACCAGCAGAAGATTTCTCTATAACTCCAACCTCAAAGATTAAAGCTAAAGCTTCCCCAGCTACAATGCGCACGGACCTGTCTTCCTTGTCTAGAAGACTAGATAAATAAGTTATTGAACTGCATGAATAATAATATAAAAAACCAATTGGTCAGATTCATTAGCAATATGCAACATAAAGAAGCATAGGCTGGCTATCCATGTTCTTTGTCTAGCTAAAATAAAAAATGCAAATAATAAATTAAAAAACAAAACAAAAAAACACACACACACACACACACATGAAGAATGATAACAGAAGCAGGGCGCACAACAGCTAGACTCCGCTTACTTTTGCCAGCTTTTGGAGTTTAGTTTCAGGTTGCCCATAGTGGAGAGTAGAAAGGACCAAGCAGATACGACAGCTGTTATAAACGAAGGTAAGGGTTTGACAGAAACAACCTAAACAAAATGATAGGAGTCAACTTTAAGAAGAAAAGGACAACAACGACTAAAATAAAAAAAGTCTTCTTGTATTCATGTTTCAACACTGTGAAGCATTAAATACAACTGAGAATTAACTAAATTATTATCAGAAACAAATCATACTATTGATCTAATCCTACTCGCAAGGTTTGATAAGAAAAAAATACGAACAAAGCTACAAAACTTAAAATGGTCATAAATATCTTCGAAATTAACACCTACATTGGAACCCAATTTAGGATTAATTAATCGCCACATTATGTCCATTGATTTCTCTGTTTCCTCTTGATCAGTCCCGCCAACAAAAGTGATAATAGCCAAGCATCGCACCAACTGCAAAAATAGATGGAACAAAGAAGATTAAGATTCAAAATGAAAAACTCTGAAGAATCAGTAAGGAAAATTCAAATACATACAGTAGATCCAGCATGATTTTCAAAATCTTACAGAAATCTTTGAGGCATCTGGCCAAGATGTCAGAGATTCATCAAGAGGACGAACAGATTCTTCATATATTTCACGTGCATTATCACCACATCCAACTGTCAACGCCAATAAACCTAAAAAAGAAAAAATAAAAATAGAAGTGAAAAAATTCGCCAAAAAAAGAGGTAAAATAGCTCCACAGAAAAAGGTAAAATATAAAAATATGGAACACATTTAATTTAATAAAAAACTTACCAATGGCCTGAGATGCCAAGGCTATTTCGTTTGCCGATGCCTTTTTGGATCCTTTTTTAATGGCACCGAGACACTGATGCAACAAGGTAGCAAATCTGAAAAACAGAAGCAACTCAAAGCTATAAATCATATATGCCATAAATAAATCGGTAGATATATAATAATATAGCTTAGCGAAGTATGACATTTAACTTATACTTGATTTTAGTACACAGAATGGATATAACTTCTCCAGTTAACACTATCTTGTAAAAAACCAGTCATATTATTACAACCTAAAAGAAGAGGCAGTGAATAGGAAGACACATTGATCGCAAATATGTTTGATTTAAAATTTTGGTTATTTGAGTTAACCTTATCTTTTCTATTTAGCAAAATTAACTATAGCCTAACTCAAACTCAACCAATGGAGGCCAGCTAAAGCTAGCCAGCAACTAGGGGCATCTCCTACAAAATATATCG